ATTTTCAAAAAAGCTTCAAGACTTGTTGATTGTTGAAAACTCGCGAACTGAATGGCACGCGACTTGAGCATGACTCATAAGCAGATGGCAAAGACAACGGACTGTACATCCAGTGGGAGAGGGAGAGCCGGAATGAGAGCGTGGAAGTGTGGGAGCGAGGATGCCGCTCTGGACTTCATCTAACGGAACAATTAAATGGCTTCTAGGTGGATCACACTGATGCCTGAGAGTAATCGGACACTGGGCGAAAATATTTTTAATTTCTTGCTGCTTGGTTTTAGATTTAATTATATGCATCCTTGTATTTTTATTATTTTATATGTTTTTAATATATATTATTTATGTTTGATATTATTTGTGTATTAATTAATTTTTAAAGACGTTAATTTTTGAAAACTTGCGGAATGAATGGCACACAACTTGAGTATGGCTCATAAGCAGACAGTAAAGATAACGGACGACGGCCAGTAGGTGGGCCAGAGGGGAAGCGTGGGAAGCGCTCTGGACTTCAAACGGAACAATTAAAAGGCGTTTGGGTGGATCACACTTACGCTTGAGAGTAACCGCACACTTGGCGAAAATATTTATCACTTCTATATGCTTGGTTTAAGCTTTAATTAAATGTATCCTTGTTGTTTATATTATTTTACATGTTTCATATATTTTATTTAGGTATTTGCACAAATATTATTAATATTGTATTAATTAATTTTCAAAATAGCTTCAAGACTTGTTGATTGTCGAAAACTCGCGAAATGAATGGCACGCGACTTGAGCATGACTCATAAGCAGATGGCAAAGACAACGGACTGTACATACAGTGGGAGAGGGAGAGCCGGAATGAGAGCTTGGAAGTGTGGGAGCGAGGATGCCGCTCTGGACTCCATAAAACGGGACAATTAAATGGCTTCTCGGTGGATCACACTGATGCCTGAGAGTAATCGGACACTGAGCGAAAATATTTTTAATTTCTTGCTGCTTGGATTTAGATTTAATTATATGCATCCTTGTATTTTTATTATTTTATATGTTTTTAATATATATTATTTATGTTTTATATTATTTATGTATTAATTAATTTTTAAAGACTTGTTAATTTTTGAAATCTTGCGGAATGAATGGCACACAACTTGAGTATGGCTCATAAGCAGACAGTAAAGATAACGGACGACGGCCAGTAGGTGGGCCAGAGGGGAAGCGTGGGAAGCGCTCTGGACTTCAAACGGAACAATTAAAAGGCGTTTGGGTGGATCACACTTACGCTTGAGAGTAACCGCACACTTGGCGAAAATATTTATCACTTCTATATGCTTGGTTTAAGCTTTAATTAAATGTATCCTTGTTTAGAATATTTTATAAGTTTCATATATATTATTTAGGTATTTGCACAAATATTATTAATATTGTATTAATTAATTTTCAAAAAAGCTTCAAGACTTGTTGATTGTTGAAAACTCGCGAACTGAATGGCACGCGACTTGAGCATGACTCATAAGCAGATGGCAAAGACAACGGACTGTACATCCAGTGGGAGAGGGAGAGCCGGAATGAGAGCGTGGAAGTGTGGGAGCGAGGATACCGCTCTGGACTTCATCTAACGGAACAATTAAACGGCTTCTAGGTGGATCACACTGATGCCTGAGAGTAATCGGACACTGAGCGAAAATATTTTTAATTTCTTGCTGCTTGGTTTTAGATTTAATTATATGCATCCTTGTATTTTTATTATTTTATATGTTTTTAATATATATTATTTATGTTTTATATTATTTATGTATTAATTAATTTTTAAAGACTTGTTAATTTTTGAAAACTTGCGGAATGAATGGCACACAACTTGAGTATGGTTCATAAGCAGACAGTAAAGATAACGGACGACGGCCAGTAGGTGGGCCAGAGGGGAAGCGCTCTGGACTTCAAACGGAGCAATTAAAAGGCGTTTGGGTGGATCACACTTACGCTTGAGAGTAACCGCACACTTGGCGAAAATATTTATCACTTCTATATGCTTGGTTTAAGCTTTAATTAAATGTATCCTTGTTTAGAATATTTTATAAGTTTCATATATATTATTTAGGTATTTGCACAAATATTATTAATATTGTATTAATTAATTTTCAAAAAAGCTTCAAGACTTGTTGATTGTTGAAAACTCGCGAACTGAATGGCACGCGACTTGAGCATGACTCATAAGCAGATGGCAAAGACAACGGACTGTACATCCAGTGGGAGAGGGAGAGCCGGAATGAGAGCGTGGAAGTGTGGGAGCGAGGATGCCGCTCTGGACTTCATCAAACGGGACAATTAAATGGCTTCTCGGTGGATCACACTGATGCCTGAGAGTAATCGGACACTGGGCGAAAATATTTTTAATTTCTTGCTGCTTGGATTTAGATTTAATTATATGCATCCTTGTATTTTTATTATTTTATATGTTTTTAATATATATTATTTATGTTTTATATTATTTATGTATTAATTAATTTTTAAAGACTTGTTAATTTTTGAAATCTTGCGGAATGAATGGCACACAACTTGAGTATGGCTCATAAGCAGACAGTAAAGATAACGGACGACGGCCAGTAGGTGGGCCAGAGGGGAAGCGTGGGAAGCGCTCTGGACTTCAAACGGAACAATTAAAAGGCGTTTGGGTGGATCACACTTACGCTTGAGAGTAACCGCACACTTGGCGAAAATATTTATCACTTCTATATGCTTGGTTTAAGCTTTAATTAAATGTATCCTTGTTGTTTATATTATTTTACATGTTTCATATATTTTATTTAGGTATTTGCACAAATATTATTAATATTGTATTAATTAATTTTCAAAATAGCTTCAAGACTTGTTGATTGTCGAAAACTCGCGAAATGAATGGCACGCGACTTGAGCATGACTCATAAGCAGATGGCAAAGACAACGGACTGTACATACAGTGGGAGAGGGAGAGCCGGAATGAGAGCTTGGAAGTGTGGGAGCGAGGATGCCGCTCTGGACTCCATAAAACGGGACAATTAAATGGCTTCTCGGTGGATCACACTGATGCCTGAGAGTAATCGGACACTGGGCGAAAATATTTTTAATTTCTTGCTGCTTGGATTTAGATTTAATTATATGCATCCTTGTATTTTTATTATTTTATATGTTTTTAATATATATTATTTATGTTTTATATTATTTATGTATTAATTAATTTTTAAAGACTTGTTAATTTTTGAAATCTTGCGGAATGAATGGCACACATCTTGAGTATGGCTCATAAGCAGACAGTAAAGATAACGGACGACGGCCAGTAGGTGGGCCAGAGGGGAAGCGTGGGAAGCGCTCTGGACTTCAAACGGAACAATTAAAAGGCGTTTGGGTGGATCACACTTACGCTTGAGAGTAACCGCACACTTGGCGAAAATATTTATCACTTCTATATGCTTGGTTTAAGCTTTAATTAAATGTATCCTTGTTTAGAATATTTTATAAGTTTCATATATATTATTTAGGTATTTGCACAAATATTATTAATATTGTATTAATTAATTTTCAAAAAAGCTTCAAGACTTGTTGATTGTTGAAAACTCGCGAACTGAATGGCACGCGACTTGAGCATGACTCATAAGCAGATGGCAAAACATAACGGACTGGACATCCAGTGGGAGAGGGAGAGCCAGAGTGAGAGCGTGGAAGTTTGGGAGCGAGGATGCCGCTCTGGGCTTCATCAAACGGGACAATTAGGTAGCTTCCAGCGATCTAACACTGACGCTTGAGAGTAATCGGACACTTGGCGCACTTATTTGTTCTGATTTGTTTTTAATGGTTTTTTTTTATTAATTGACGCTTGGTTCTTAATATTTTCTATTTGGGAAACAAAATAGCAAGCGACTTAAACGTGGATTAGATAGATAAACAGATGAAAGAGATAACGAACTGGACGCCCGATGGGAGAGGGATCGCCAGAGACAGAGCGTGGGAAAACGGAACAACTACCAACGCTTCCAGCTGGATCAAATTGACGCTTAAAAGTAATCGCACACATGGCGTAAAAATTATTTTGGTACATTATTTATTATGGTTTGTTTTCTTTTATATTTTCTTAATTAATTGAAGCTTGGTTTTTGCTTAATTCTTGCTTTTTCGATATTTTCTATTATCTTTATATTTATGTACTAACATAAATATTATTTATATTAAGTATATAAACAAATAAATAAATATTGAAAGTATCTTTAAAATAGCACCGAGATTAGTTTTATAATAATGTATAGAAAGATTTGGTTTAATCTGCTTAGATTTAAATAAAATATTTAACACGTTTTTTTTAGTGAATTTAATTTAATTTAATTTTAATTTAATTAATTTTAATTTAATTGACGCTTGGTTTTCGAGTTAATTAAATGCATTCTTGGTTTATTTGTATACTTTCTATTCTTTTAATATATTACATATGTCTTTACATGAATATTATTAATTTTATGTATAGAAAATATATTAATATGTATTGTTTCATCCGAGACTAGTTTCGTAGACGAATATAAAAATATATATATTTATTTAAGTTTTAAATTAATTTATTTTTAATATTACTTGAATATTTTAAGTCTTGTAAGGAGTATTGAGGTGATCTATATATACATATATATATTGATAGATCGGCTCAATTTTTGATGCTGATCAGGAACACCGTTTACAAGTCTTTCAAAATATCCAAGTAAAATTAAAAATATATTAATTTAAAACTTCAATACCCAAAAAGAAACCCATATTCAAAAAACAAATAAAACTCAATTTTGTATATTTTTTTTTTAGTTTTTATTTTCTTTTTTCTCTCTCTTTTGTATGAAAACTTATATTCACCTGTCGACTTCCTGCGACTTCTATCTAAAAAAAAAACACTGACTCTTCAACATATTTTTTTCTTTTGTCTTCTCGAAATAAACAGAAAAATAATGACAGTCCAAGATCGGAAATGGATGCAAGGGGAGAGCGAAACGCAAAATAAAACGCAAAAGTTAATCAATTGATTTGTTATAATAGGACTAATTAAATGTATCGTACAAGTGGAAGGTTTTTTTTGTTGTCTCAATCAATCAATGTCTCTTCTCCATATTTTTTCTGGCTTCACTCTGTCTTCTGCAGTCATTCTTCTAAGCTTTCTCATGTGTCTTCAACAAACGAAGACAATTCTCAAGAAATTTCATTAGGATTACAATTATGGTATTTGTCAAGGGGTTTTCATCTTGGTGTTTCCATTTTTTCGTTTTTCCTTTTTCATGGAGTATGTGCAGAGTTTGGGCATTTGGAAAATTGAAATTTCTAAAACAAAACTGTGGAAACATTTGTTTGTTGGTTTAAAGACTAACAATCTCGCGATAAAACGAATAAAAAAAATAATGGATAGGTGTATCTCTAGAGATGATCGAACATGGAATCGTACATAACTAATTAATTAATTACGAAACTGTTTATGCTGCTTCCTCCTACAGGATGAAAAATGGTGGTTTTTAGTGCTGCTTCAGTGGCAAATGGTGTTGTTTCTGCCTCTGTTTGTTGTTGTTGTTGGGGATATGCAGTCTTTAGCGGATCGATTGATTTAATCATCGCCAGCTGATCGCTTGACCTTTCGCTGCTTAGGGCTCTGCTGGCTGGCAGCCTTGGGACTTGCCTGCTTGCCGGGCTTGGGAGAAGTCTTGGGCGTCTTAGACTTGGGCGGAGATTTCTCTGTAATACCAAAAACAATATAAAATTAGCTTTTATCTAAAGGACTCCTTATCCCAGTGCTTACGCAGCGCTCGCAGCGTCTCCTGTGGCACCCAATCGTAGTCAATGGTGCTATCGTTGGCGGTTCCAGTCTCAATCACCTTCTTGGCGGCGGCACGCTTGCGCTTGCCAGAGCTGCCAAGCAGATATTGCTGGCCAATGACCAAAAGCAGGACAACAATGCCAGCCAGCAGAACGTACAGGAAGAAGGTCTCGCCATCGAGTCCCTCATCGACCTCAGAAATCAGAACAGTTTCGTTGAAGACAGCCTCGTTGTACTGAATTCCATTGGCATCACGGTAGGCCAGAGCAATGTTCAATCCAAAGGGACGACCGGCAAACTGATCCGAAGGCAGGAAGGTGTACGAAACGGTCGACTCAAAACCGGGTTTCACCTCACGGTTGTAGGCCACAGCCGAGAAGTTCTGAATGAAGTAGTTAAAGTCCATGGGGTAGCGGAAAGAGGCCTCCACGGTCTCGATCACAAACTCCTCGGCACCCTTGTTCGTGAATCCAATGAGGAACTCCACGGGCTTGCCACCGGGCAGATCCAGCTGCTGGCCAGGCGTGTACAATGGTTTCGTGAATAAAAGATATGTGTCCGCATTTGGGGAGCTGCTGCTACCCGTATCGTTGTCCTCGTCCGCCTCCGCATCCTCACCGGTCACAGCACCCTCCTCACTGTCCACATCCACCAGATCATCCTCAGCGGTTTCGGCGGCATAGGCACCAAACTTGGTAGCTAAAAAAGGAGCAATCTTGTTTAATATGTGATTTTTGTAAAAGATATGAACTAAATGGTGAGCAGAGGTGGGATTAGTCTGAATCTTCGCAGCTTTATTTGGTGACATTTGATAAATTAGCCTCATAAATCAAGAAAATAATTCATCAAATCTAAAAGAATCTTTCATAATTTGTATTTAAGTACATATTACGACAGGTGAATGAAAGTTTGTATACAAAAAACAACAAAGATTTGCTTATCTATAAAGATTATTTGCTTGGAAACTATTTTATATATTATTATTTATAATTGTTAACAAGAAAAATATCGAAAATATGCAAATAAGAATAGATTTTGAAGATTTCTTGAATTTAACATTAATTTTTCAAGCAAAAGCAAAACTTTAACTACATATTTTTAAAGAAATCTTCAAGATATAGTTTACAGATTTATGTAAAACTTTCTACAAACATTAAAAAACATAATACACCATTCACATAACTTATAACTCTTGATCTTGAAAACTAACACAGATATTTGCATATAACCCAGTTAATTTCCAAGGCAGCTATAAGATATACATAGTTAACCGATTTGTATGAAATTTGGTAATATCACTGGAAAACTCAAGATTTGCCATTATGTTGCGTTTTAAAGACTTTATTTTGAAAAACAACCAAGATATAGCCATTTGAAGCGGCCCAAACGGCATGAGTAAGAGCGAGAGGCATATAGAAGGTCGGCGTGCCAACTCAACAGTTTTCAAGTGTCACCGCGAAAATCTGCCGAAAACGTTGAATGAAAATGACCAAAATACGATGATATTGATGACTTTCTTGGTTCTCAAAGACCTTATGATATTCCACGTAGCAAACGCAGTGTCGGCAGTGCCACGTATGCGTCGCCCCCGCCCCCTCCCTCTGCACACCATGGTCAGCGTCCGGCGGTATCGCCGTTATTTATCACAGCAAAATACGGCAAAAGTACTTACGCGCAGAGAAGGTGGTGATGACGATGGGCAGGACCATCAGCATAAGGAACATCAGGTGCTTCATCTTGTCGCTTTTTCGGCTGCAATTCAATGCGCGGCACGGGAAAAATCAGAGCAGGCAAAAACACTCGCACGAAAAAAGGCAACCGTAGCGATCGGGGGAAACAGTTAGAGTGACGAAAACAGTGGCGGCGACAGCCGAAGTGGCACGAAGTCGTCACGACTTTCACTGTCAAATGTCTACGTGGTGCCACGTCTAGGGTTACCAGACCATCGCAATCAGTGCCGACAGCTGCCCTTTCGCACCGAATATTGTTTGTTTAACGCGAAAAATAATCAAATGCATCAATGAAACAGGCAACGAAATAAATATTTTTATAGTTTGGCATACCTACTTTCTAATATTAACACAAAAACTAAGAAATATTATACGTTTTTCCTCGCCTCGGCAACCCGGATTTGGCAAGCAGTGCTGCTAAACGCGGCAACTGTCACTGCTCGTGTATTAACAAATTATTCACTTAAAATTTAAACACAGACGAATATATCACTTAATAAACACCATAAATAACATTATTTCTTCATTTCGTTTAGCGAGAAGGTTGTTTTGATTGATTATAAACACACATGTTATCGCTACCAACACTGGATAGCTATCGATATATCGATATGTATATCAAGAAGAGGATTGCCAACTTGGCTTTTTCAAGCTTAAAGCAGCTAGTTCACGCTGTTAACGTTTTTAGCTGTTTATTTGTTATATATTTATTTTGTTTTTTGAGAAAATATTATTTAATAAAATATGTATATTTCGGTTTCCAAATATTAAAAATGTTAGAAATATGAACAAATACATGTAAAATGGTTTTTTGTCTCGTTTTAAATAAAAATTGCATATAATAAAAAAATAAAATAATATTTGTATATCAAATCGGTAAGATAAAATTAAAAAACCATTTAAATATATATATATATATGTATATACCCGACACATCTAGCAAAAATTAACTGTTGCCGCCTAACTAATATTAAATTCAGCTATTTTCTCGCCGTTTTCGTGCCCGCTATATCGATAGTTGGCATCGCCCCTATCGCCGTTGAAAGCGCAGCCAAGTTCACGCCGCCGCACCGATAACCCCTCAACTTCCTTTTTGCTTGCGGCTGTCAATTGAAGCGCAACTTGCACGTGAATTTTCTCAGCGAATTTTCAGCGAATTTCGATTAGCCATGGACAAACCAGTTGTGTGGGCTCGCGTCATGAAGGTCCTCGGCCGCACCGGCTCCCAGGGCCAGTGTACCCAGGTTAAGGTGGAGTTCCTCGGCGAGCAGAACCGCCAGATCATCCGCAACGTGAAGGGACCCGTGCGCGAGGGAGATATTCTCACCCTGCTGGAATCCGAACGTGAGGCCAGAAGACTCCGCTAACGGGGTTGATGCTCCTCTGCTGCTCCTGATCTATTTAGAAGGTGAGTCCCATTGGCTTTACGTGTTCTAGAAACAGCCCCCTAATTGCCTGTTTTTCCTTCTCTTTTACAGATACTTTTGATACATTGTTTGCACGAGGCTTTGGCATCGCGAAATCCGTTATAAACAAATGCAAATAAACACGTAATTGAACCAACTAGTTGGCAAAATGTGTTTTAAATAAATCTGAAGCGGTGGACAACCCTCTAAAAATACAAAAAAGAAACCCAAACTGTGGTTTTCATTTCTTTAATATTTTTTTTATTGTGATTTTGTTTGTGTGTCGAGTGAACAAATTTGAAAGACAATGCATGGACAAGTGCTGAAGGAAAATCATGGCATTACCTTACGAGCTTAACTGGCAAACGATCCATGAGTGCTGCCGAGCTGAATTTCGTTGAATTTAAATGGAAAAATCCATAAAATTAGCACAGAATTATGTTTACATGTTCTTGGGGTTCAATTACCCGCCAATTACAACACAAAATGCTTCTGTACACAGGCAAACTTTCGTAATACATATTATATAGGAATTAATGAGTTATATTCTGTGAAATGTAACCAATTACATGTAAATGTATTTAGCTCATAGCCAGAGTTAGTATTTCTAATTTTGTGAGAGTAACTTTTGTTTGAAATGTCTTCCTTGTGAAGGTGTATTGTCTTTAGAGGAATGTAGGGACGGCTTTTTAGATTATTTCATAAAATAATCGCCAGCTGTGTCCAATGAAAGGCTCTACAGTCTAGGGTTTATTCCACAGCCCAGGCACAACTAATTAAACGTGAAAATAAGCCAAACAAGGCTTTGTCTTGGAATGTAAACTCCTTAATGTTAGTTTCACTGTGTTTACATTAGAAAAGAAGCGAGTTAAAACTTAAACAAACAACAGGAATCTATAGTAATACCATAAATCTTTAACAAAAACCTCAAAACATGCCATAATTTTCCTCAACACCAAGAAAATCCATAATATATACTTTCAGCTCAACTCCCCAACTCTATTTGTCCAGTCTTTTGTGTTATTTGTATAAAATCCAAGGGATATCTTAATAATCGTTCGATTTTGGCCAAGCCAAATGCAATATGGGCTTCTACGTGCTCCGGCAGCTGGATATCGACCTGGAAGGCCTCGAGAGCAGATTCTCCAAGTCCAAACTTTGGATGAAGCTCCCGCAGATGCAGTTCCAAATATTTCGTTTGATTTTTCAAAGCTGTCTGGGATTCTTCGATGAAATCAAGGAGTTCTCTTAAGCAGACTGGGTTCGATGATGCACCTTGTTCTTTTCTCAGTTCCAGGCATTCGTTTTCGAATTCCAAAACTTGCATGTATATCTCATCTAGCTCTGCTACTAGACTTAATCTATAACAAATACAATATTAAGAAAAGTCATGGGTGTTTTCCCTGGGAATATCGGACAGCACCACTTACATGCTGTCGTAAAGAGCGTTGTAGACTTCTTGGCAGGCAGAAAGTAGGGAAATCGATGCCGCTTCATTTTTACTGTATTAAAATCATATGATTAGAAAGATTTAACTAATTGGTATGCTAATGTTTACCCCTTAACCAAGCGATATCTCTGATTCAGTTCCCACAAGCGGCTCGCTTGATTCGGCAAATCTGCTGTTTTTACGGCCTTCAAGGCATGGTAACTCCTTAAGGAGGTGAGCAATTGCCGAAGATGTTGCCCCAGGCTATTGTTATAGTATTCAATACGCTCTGGCGGCATTAACATAGCGGCAAATCAGTAAAATGTAGTCAAAACAAATTTAGTAAATTAACTTGGCACATGGCCGGCCTCCTACGCTTACCAACACTGGGAAGTGTTAGTAAACGTCGCCATTGCGGTATATATCGAAAGAGAAGAGTTGATAACAGCTTATTAAATAAATATATATATGTAGTAGGAAACAGTATTAATAATACTGCTGAACTACCTATTACATTTATATTATCAATCAGAATTCAAATGCTTATAAAATGACAAACAAACAGCAAACTATCGCGATTACAAATGCATATCGCCCACGGCAACAGCTGATAGCAACAGTGGGACCAGGTTTTTTTATTCCTTTCCCATTTTCGCCATAACACGAACGTAAAAAATTATTTAACATTCGATGAAACTGCTCTAAATTGACTTTTATCACAGAAAACCCGCAGCGAGATGCGACTGATTCGCATCACGGCGCTGCGCCAGCGCCTGGCCGATAAGCTGGTGATGCCGGAGCGACTGAAGGACACGTTCGTGGAGAAGTGGATCAAGTACTGGAACGGCCTGATGCGCGACTACTCGGAGGTGGCGGTTGGCGTGGTCCGTGAATCCTACGCCAAACCCAAGAAGGCGCTGTTCTATGGCACAGGGCTGGTCCTGCTTTACCAGAGCGCTGTGAACAATCCCGGCGAGGATTGTTTCATGACGCTGCTGCGCCGGGACAGCAACAGAATGATAACGGTGGCCAAGGATCAGCAGAATCCCGTAGCTACGGAATACCTGCGCACCTTGGAACAGGCCATTAACCAGAAGAAGCTTCGCCTGCTATCGCTGGGCATCTGCACGCTGCTCTGGGTGGATCTGTACGATGAAGACGACTGCACATATCCGGCCATCTGCGAGTATACAAAGGTGGGCTTCCTCAACTTCCACGAGCGCGTCATCGATGTGGGCTTCTGGAACGAGTTCTGGCGCCTCAAGTGGAAGATGCGCAACTTCGATGTAAATTACCTGTGAGGGATCTGGAACCGGGATCTCTTTGACGCTGCCTTAAGTTTAACTATAATCTTACGATGTTGTTGCTCCCTGTTTAAACCAAAAAAGAATACAATGTATGTTACGCATTTAGCATTTTCTGCTAACATTTATAATGTAATATCATACAAAGACTCTGTTTGGTTCTTGGAACAGGCACTAACAACTCCCTTTGTCTTGGATTGTGCTCCGTTTTAGGACGCACTAGCTGGCTGTGTTGCTGCTGCTGCTTCCACGATCTTCTTTGGCTTAAATTGCGCCTCCAATAGCTCTTGGCAATCCTGCAGCTTGGCCAGATTGTTGATCTTGCCCTGGAAGCTGCCCTCCTTGCCATTGCCCTTGCCCTCGAGCAGATCAAGGAACTGTGGTCCCAGTTGTTGGACAATTTCGGGATCACCGCGCAACACCATATGACCTTTGGCACTGCTGCCGGCGGACACGCCCTCAGAGACGGTCAGAAAGTAGAAAATCTCCTCGGGAGCCAGTCGCAGGAACGTATTAATGAAGTCCACCTCGATGCCATCACGCCGGTGAAGGCAAAAGTACTTGGGACGCTCTTTCTTTGGCAAATCCTCCAGCCGTTCGGCCTCAGCGGTGGCGAAATCCTTGAGTAGCTGCTGAAACGATTTCCGGGTGCTCTTCACATTCTGCTGCAGCTTCTGAAGCAGATCCAGGTGCTGTGCTGGACCACCTCTGTGAGTTGCAATTGGGATTAACATGAGAATTACTGGAGTATGACCTTAGGAACTCACTTCAGGGCCTGGGTGAGCTGCTGTTCGCGGTGGAAGACCTCGCCTAGCTTGGTGAGGACCCTTTCGCCGACCACAAAATGTACATTGATATTAGTCTTGACCTTCTCCGCGTAAAGGAGCTTGACACACTGCAGCTGGGAGAGATTTGTGACGTGGGTGCCGCAGCACATGTTGCTCTCAATGCCTTCGATACGCACGACTCTGGCGAGGCCCTCGTGATCTTTGGGCAAGCCCCTGGGCGCCCTGGCGTCTTGGAACTCCTGTGCCACCTCCGGATCCACCAGAAGCACTGATACCTCGCGTCCCTCGCGTATTAGGTCATTGGCTTGGCGTTCAATGAGGTCCAGGGACTCGCGACTGATCAGATGAGGCGTGTTCAGCTGGATGTAAGATGTGCTGCTTCCCAGGGACCAGGAGGTGGTGTCGTATTTGAACTCTCGATCGAAGAGAGCCGTAATAAGATGCTGGCCTGAGTGCTGCTGCATATGGTCCAGCCGCCGCTGGAAATCCAGGATAAGCAGTACCTCCATTCCCGCATCGAAGCTCTGCGCCGATTCTACAAAATGTACGGCCGTGGTTCCCTTTCGCTGGACATTTCTCACAGAGAAGCCATCCAAGGTGCCATAGTCGCAGGGCTGGCCGCCGCCTTCGGGAAACAGGATGGTGTCCTCACAGATCACATTAAAGCCCTTGAGTGTCTGCACTTGGCCATCGGAATTGGTCCAGTCGAGAGTGGCAAATTCGCTGCTGACAATTTTTGTCTTGAACTGCGCCCAATAATTGGTTAACAATTATGTAATTAGGTGCTATCACAGATTGGTAATATAGTCACCTGCTTCAGGAAGCTATCCTCCTGGCACTTGAAGACCATCTTGTCATTCAATTAAACCAATTGCCAGCCAAATTTTCCAAACAATAAAACTTATGAGTGATTCTGTCAACAAGTGTTCATTTTTAGCGCGCTGGTTCGTTCTAGAGATGCGCAGATAGTCACAGTGAAACGGTCACGATATTAATTATGATGATTAAAAGTTAAGTGATAAATTTTTATGTAATCTTGTCTGGTGATTATGTTTTTAAATGTTTCTATTGCTTTATTTATCAAATATATTTAATGATATTCACTGCTATTATTTTTAGCCAAATAAATTATTTTGTGACAAAGGAAATTATGTTATTGAGCTTACAGTCACAGTTTATCACTGAAATTTTCTGCTCAAAGCTTTGGGACATGTCCAACACTGCTTTAAAATTAACCAGGCAAATAAATGATAATTAAATATTTATAAAATAACTTAAAACTTAAATTATACATAAGTACATACAATTTTAATTTAGAGACATATATATATATATTTATATATATATATATATATAAATTATAATACGCAGCAGTGTTGCCAGGTTAGCTTATTATAAGCTAGTTCTAGCATATTTGAAACTAGAAAAGCTTGAAAAATTTCCATCTAGCTTATAGCTTGAAATATAGCTTATTTTAAAATTCATCTAGCATATTTTAGCTTTTTATGTATTTTTGACATCCACGGAATGTTTTTTACGAAAAATATGCTTTATAGCATGAAAATATTGGAGTTTGTTCTTTTTTTCCGATGGTTATGTGCATTTTATGTGATCGTGAACTTATTTCTAATCGAAAGTGTCATCGGAGATCGATTTGTTGGCTGAAGTGTTACCACCAATAATTTTGTTGTGTTGTGAAAATAGGTAAAGCGTGTCCTCAAAATGCCGAAAGTTATATATAAACAGATTTTTCGGGATGCTTGGCTCCAAAACAACGAATTTAAGTGCCAGGAGAAGGAACCAAAGCATATTGTTGCTACTGTAAGTCGACAATATCAGCCAAAATTTTTTAAATCAGGCAGCATGCGGCATCGAAAAAGCACATTTTATCAATGAGATCAGTTGCTGAATCGCAAAAAATAAATTTTCCGGCTAAGTGTTGCAAGACTCAGGATCAGGAAGCAGCGCTTTGTTTGTTCATTGCCGAACACTCGGCGACGAACAACATGAAGGAATTGATGAAATATTAACTAATTTGTTTTAAGTGCTTACTTTAAGAACATATTTTTAAGACTTTCTTTAATAATAACATATTCATATAATATAATAATATATATTATATGTTTCGTGTTTTCTCATATTTGGGTGTAGCTTGTTTTTTCGCATTTTTTAAAAATTGTTTAGCTTATTCTAGCTTATTTTTTTTTTAAATCTAGCTTATATGGGCGCTCATCACCTGGCAACACTGATACGCAGGCAACTTATTTAGTACACTTTCTTCTTGTCTATTTCTCTCTCGCTCTTATTCACATATTACCTCCATCTCGCTCTTTGTCGTGGGCTGTCTAAGTAAAATTTATTTTTATGGAACGTATACATATGCCACATTTAAGGACAAAACTTACTGAAAATAATGTTTAAGTCTTATCCTATTACTTCCCATTATTAAAGTTCTTTGTTTTGATTTTAATAATTATTAATAATTTCATTAATAATTTTGTTAGTTCCGCAGAGCTGCCATATCAGTGGCCAGGTAACAGAGTTACCAGACAGTTGCTCTCTCTCTCGCAAACTTAGGCGTGCAGAGAGAAGAGCGTGAAAGAGAGACGCACTTTTCATCCTGTGATTTGCGAGTTACGTCTTTCGCTGCTCAACAGTTTCCTGCCAATGTCCCGTTACGACACACCGTTACGTTATTTCCAATCAGCATAACGGGAGCGACGGATTCGGGACCCTTTAAATAAGTTTAAATGCAACCACCTGCCGTTAATCAACAAGGATAATCGCCCAGAACCACGTCGTCTCTCGTATATCGTAGCGCCAAAGTCGCGATAACGCCTGTTAAGCTCCCCCGTTAACCCCCGTTTTGTTTTCTGTGACTTCCGTTTCATTCTTCGCGAGTGTTTTTTGTCGGTTATATAAGTGGACACAGGGACACAATTATTCGAAGAGTTTTCATCAAATAAAAAGGATACAAACAAAGTACGAAAATAGGAAAAACTGTCTCTACTCGCCCATCATCACATTTGCATGCTATTATTATTATAAAGTCAAAATATAGGTCTCCATGACGGCCAGGTCTTCCCCCAGACAGGATCAAAATCAAAACCTCACCTGCATTTCCCTGGCAACTAATACCCAAACTAATTGCTGGAGGGAAATGTGTATAAATTCCATTACACTGCATTTGCTGGGTGGGTGGAAAATCTGAGGGGGGAGGTCGGGCCAGAGCGGGGGCTCTAAAAAGGACTTTCAGTTGATTGATTTATTGTGTGTGCCCAGTCACGCATATCCCATAGATGTCGTGGTGTTGGTGACCATGTGCCTCTGTGTGTGCGTGTGTGTGCCTGTCTGTGCCTGTTTCCCTTTTTGCATGATTTGATTGATGGCAAAATGGCAGAGAGAAAAAATATATAGAGGCTAAGCTATGCCAAAAATTTATCACATATTCAGAGTTTAATTTTTAGTTCTAGTTTTAAAAAGAAACTATAGATTTTTAATTAATTACGGTAGAATTCTTAGCGTTCCTACCTTTGCTTTAGAAAAAAAAAACAGTTTTCAACTTTAAATTATTAACTGTTTGGTTTAATTTTTATTGACTTTGAAAACCTTTTATTATACCTGAAATTTGGTCTACAATTCTGTATAATTACTTTTAAATTATATATGAAATTCTTCATAATTATACCATTTAAAAGAAGACCTTTTAGTATTCAAAGGATAAAAGTAATATTGCTTTCCCAAAAATGTACTAATTTCCATTTAAATTTTGATTTTCTTATAATATTTAGATACATATTTTTTCTCTCTGTGCACGCATGCAATGTGTACGATTATTATTAGTAATTGCGTATGTATTTCACTCAACAAAAGCAGCTAGCAGCACTGCGATGGCGTCTACTACTAATGCACCGTTATCACCAGCAATTAAGCACTAACAAAAGCACCAAAAAGAAAGACAAACAAAAGAAACAGTTACTCAATATTGTGACAACTTTTAACTGAAACTAATATTCAAACACGACGATAACAACAATAACAATTACAAGAATACCAACTATAAACAATAGAGAAGAGAAGGCATGAAGTCCTTTATTTAGCAGCCAGAAGGTATGCAACGAAAAATGTCCAGCGAACTGTTAGTTACCTGAATGCAACACCAGGCGGCGCTGACGAAGTGAGCGAAAGCGAGAGCGAAAGCGAAGTTAGCGGATAAATAGAGGAAGCGGAAGCGGAAACGGAAACGGAGACACAGCAGCACACACACACTTAGACACACAGTATACTCCCACACACACAGAGCACCCCTAGACACACATAGAATACACACGCCTGTAATAAATCAAGTATTAATAATAATAATAAACCGCAATCATGGCCAACACAGCACAGTTATTGCGTCGCCAGAGTTCCCGGGATATAGTCCTCAAAAGCCAAAAGAGCATTGATCAACTGGAATTGAGGGTAAGTTAATAATACCCTAAAATATATATTCTTTATATATTATATATATATTATATTATATTGATTTAGGAACTGCGCGGCCGCTTGGTACCCAAGGAACATGGCGTCAGTCACCATCATCACACATCGCTGCATTTGCATCAGCCTTTGTATGGAGCCACCAATCAGGGCTTTATGTCCGATGCCTTTGACGAATCCTCGGAACTTGAACAGGATCCACCGCCCTTCGGCTCGGAGGCAAGCACCTCCAAGGCCAAGGCCGAACTGGTGGCCAATGCGGCAGCGGATCAGCAGCAGGACATTGTCGAGGGCGAGAAGGAGGGCGAGGAGCGAGAGAGTTGGGATAGCAAAATCATGTTTCTGCTGGCCACCATAGGGTAAGGAAAATGTTACATTTCATTATTATATAAACTAACTTAACTTATTTATATATCTTTTGTATTATTAGCTATGCCGTTGGCCTGGGCAATGTGTGGCGCTTCCCCTATTTGGCCCAAAAGAATGGCGGCGGCGCCTTTCTGGTGCCCTACTTCATCATGCTGTGCATCCAGGGTATACCCATCTTCTACCTGGAACTGGCCATTGGCCAGCGATTGCGTAAAGGTGCCATTGGTGTCTGGAGTCAAGTGTCCCCATATCTGGGCGGCATTGGCATCTCCTCGGCGGTGGTCAGCTATATTGTGGCTCTCTACTATAACACGATCATTGCCTGGTGCTTGATCTATCTGCTGCATAGCTTCGAATCACCTTTACCGTGGGCGGACTGCCCCACGAGACTGTACTCCAACTATACGTACGACCATGAGCCGGAGTGTGTGGCCTCGTCGCCAACGCAATTCTATTGGTATCGCACCACATTGCAGTGCTCGGAGAGCGTTGACCTGCCGGAGAACTTCAATTATCACATGGCCATTGCGTTGATTGTCTCCTGGTTTCTGGTCTACATTTGCATGGTGCAGGGTATTACTTCGTCGGGGAAAATTGTCTATATGACAGCGATCTTTCCATATGTTGTCCTCATCATTTTCTTCTTTCGCGGCATCACACTGAAGGGAGCCGCCGATGGTGTGGCTCATCTGTTTACACCACGTTGGGAAACCCTCCTGGATCCGGTGGTGTGGCTGGAGGCAGGCACTCAGATCTTCTTCTCGTTGGGTTTAGCCTTTGGCGGCCTGATTGCCTTCAGTTCATATAATCCGGCAAATAATAATTGCTACAGGGATGCCATACTCGTATCGATGACCAATTGTGGTACTTCAATGTTCGCAGGCGTTGTGGTCTTTTCGGTTATTGGATTTAAGGCCACGGCAACGTTTGATCGATGCACCGAGGAGAGGAATGGATTGATATTACAGAATAAGACAACTAATCTGCCTGTTTGTGATTTGCAAACTGAATTGGCCAATGTGAGTAGAGATTTTGAGATATTAATAGACTATAAATACTTGTAGATATATATTTAAATGGTATTAGAGTTCAGAGGGATTTAAAATCACTTGAAAAGCGATTGCTATCCTTGAATTTGAACCCTTGAATATTCCAAGTCTTACTTTTGGACCCTTTTTCAATTAGTTTTAAGTATATATTTACAATAATAATTAAATGTATATATCAATTACTTAAAACTAATATTTTCTTTTATTTTACAGAGCGCTTCAGGCACTGGACTGGCCTTTATTATATTCACAGAGGCGATCAATCAATTTCCTGGCGCTCAACTCTGGGCTGTCCTTTTCTTCCTGATGCTGTTTACCTTGGGCATTGATTCGCAGTTTGGAACTTTGGAGGGTGTGGTCACCTCACTGGTGGACATGAAACTGTTTCCCAATCTGCCCAAGGAATATATAGTGGGGGTATGTGTCTGGATTTTAATAATTCACAGTCAATATTTACTATAATTTCTTGATTTCTTGGCAGGCACTTTGCTTCTCCTGTTGCCTGATTTCCATGTGTTTTGCCAATGGTGCTGGCAGCTATATCTTTCAACTGATGGATAGTTTTGCTGGTAATTTTCCTCTGCTGATCATTGCCCTGTTCGAGTGCCTGTCGATTAGCTATATCTATGGTGTGCGGAGATTCTCGGATGACATTGAAATGATGACTGGTTCAAGGCCCAATTTTTATTGGATGTTTTGTTGGAAGTATTTGTCGCCGTGTGCCATGGTTACTATACTGCTGGCCTCGTTTTATCAGTTGTTAACCGAGGGCAGTAGCTATCCAGCCTGGATTGCAGCCAAAGGAGCCACGGAGTCCATGGAGTGGCCACATTGGTGCATTGTGATTGCCTTCTTTCTCATACTCTCGTCCATATTGTGGATTCCAATTGTGGCGATTTTGCGGTGAGTATATATAAATCCTTGCGAGGAAGATCCTTGCTGAAGTTCTTGTTTATAAACACTTAGTTGCACTTTGCTTATATAAATATATTTATATACACATTTTCACAGCCTTTGCGGCATCAAAGTGGTCGAGGATTCGGATCCTGCCTGGTTCCCGGAAGCGGAACTTAAGGAAGTCCATGGCATTGTGCCCCATGAACCAACTGAATTGGAACGTAGCATTTTCTGCTTCAATATGGATGGTACGGAGGGCATGTGTTGCCCCAAATATGGACTGCCAGAGAAGTCCCTGGAGGAGGAGGAGTAAGGAGTAAGGATATATACACATAACGACGACGACGACAATAAAATAAACGAGATATACGAATACAAAAACACGAAATAGAAACCGATGAAATCGTAATGTAAATATGGACAATAACTAAGCACACACTCACCGATATTGGGCGGCGTCGATATCAAAGAAACACTCCTACTATATATGGTCCCAAAGACTGTTGAAAAAAGAAAAGAAATATATATATATATTAAAGAGAAACCACAAAAAATAATAAGGAAAATAGGAAAAACACAACAAGAAAACAAAAATGTTAGCAATAGTAAAAACAAGGAACGGTGAAAACTCGACGCTGGATGCGCGGTTTCATTCAAGCAGAAAGCTCTGAAAAACAAAAGCCGAAAATCGATAGAGAAATATTTCCGCATAACATCATTAGCATGTGGCAAAATCATAATCATAAAATCATAATTATACATTATTATTTTATGGCAAAGAGTTTGTGGGGGGAGAGACAGGCAGGCAGCCAGCCCTTGTAGGGGCTCAACATATCCGATTTCATATAGCCATATTTGATTTCGAGCCCAAGAAGAGAAAACCAACTGTAACTTGCTGACTATATACGATATACACAATATGCTAGACTTTGATTTCTGACTCGATTAATGTTTAAGCCATTACCATATCATATGCGGGCATAGGGCACCACCTATAATATACAATATATTGATATTATAATATATATATTATCAACTATACCTATTCATTCTCTGTTGTGATCAGGCTCTATCGGCTTTCTGTGTTTATTGTTGTTATCGAGGATAATGTTGCTCATATCACATCCGAAAAACTATGCTAGCTAAACTTCAAAGTCTCAGTGTTATGGGGATATATACAAATATATAGATATATGTATATTATGATTATGTTTTGCTCTAATCGAATATTACTTGTTGATCGCCATAGCTCTCCACTCCATTGTACTTATGATCTACACACTCGAGATGATTAGTTAGGAACTGGGTGGGAGTATATATCTCTAGATATATATATACACATATATTTACATTTACATTTACATTTAACAAAACGCAAACGCAACCGTTCAACTAGCCCAAAAGATAAATACAAATAAATCGGTGGATGAGGAACTCTATATATATATACATATACATAACTGGAGAAGGCAGCTTAAAGGTTTATATCATCGCATCATGGACGAACTATTATACAAAATTAATTAAAATATATATATAAGCCTATATAATTATATATTTGTGTCTGTTGAAATTTTTGTATAGTTAAGGGTTAACCTTTGACATTAATCCGCAATCCCGATTCCCCCGAATAGCAATTGATTTCGCTGTATTATAAATTCAACATTTATTTGTGGTATATTTATACATATACATCGATATATATATTATATACATCTATTTAGAAGGAAAGAACAAAGATATATATATATATATATTATACATGTATTAAGTGTTATTGATGTTGACAATAAAAGAAACCCATAAGAAACGAGTTTTAAACAAAAGAAACCGATGAGATATAGACAAACTTCCGATACAACACGACAAAGAAGTACACACACACAAAGCCACCCACAGTTTGCTAAAATCCAAAAATAGATTATAATAAATAAACAGAAAAAAAATCGAAAAAAAACAAAACGTATAAATACATATATTTACGGCGAAGCAATAATTATTAAATGTTCGAAAAGGGATTCCGATTATTATTCCGATTAATTGTTGTTATCGATTATTTTTCTCGCTCTCGAAAATGTCTCGTAATTGATGTACAACTCACTCATTCGCACTGATCATGATAATGGTAATAATTTACTAATATTTAATTCGCAAACTGATAAATTATAATGAGAATTCCAAACTAAAATGACAATAAACAATATAAAACTAAGATTTGAAATTGTATTTGCATTTTACGTGCATATATCTATGGGCTTTTATAATTTAATATTATATTTATTTTGAACTTGAGTTTTTATTTTAGCTTTTTAAAGGTTTTTTGAAATTATTATTTTCAAGAATTATAGGAAACCTCCATAATTTATGAGCTTCCTAAGAAGTTCTTCAAGATCAGTGAAGCTTGGTCAATACTTTACTGCACTACACTGAATTTAATTTAGTTTTATGTCTTTATTACAGAATATGAAAAATTAATTTACTGATTTATTTTTTACAAAATAAAAGAATATTCTTAAAATTTAAGTTTTCTGAAGTGCTTTATTTATTTTGTAAATTATATTCTTTTTATTAATCTAAGAAGTTATCCAAAAGATGCCACCAAGAACCTAAAATATACAAATTCCTTAAATCCATATTTATCTACATATATATATAATTTTAGTGGGAAATTTAAAATTAAAAAATGTCATAACTAAGCCAAAAATGGTTTAATTTCCATTTGGAAAACAGTTCTGAGTTTGTTTTTTTACGAATAATAAGTCTGCCTATCAAGTTCACAAATTTGAAAATTTTAATTTTTTTCTTAAATTTTTGACAATTTTAATGATGAAACCCCTTAAAAAAATCGAAAAAATTTAAAAAATTATTTTTGTTCCAAACATAGCTAGATCGATTAGGCTGTTCATGCTGATCAAGAATATATATGATTTATGGGGTCGCAAACGACTTCTTCACAGCGTTTTCAGCTCCTGAGTATAATTATTATACCCTGTAATGGTATAAAAATACTATTATACACCCTATTTTTTCTTACCGTGCACCTGTGCAACGGTAATCTGCATGTGGCAACGCCTTCAGCGGGCCCTTGCGATGCCAGCGGAGCGCAACAGGCGGAAACAAATGGCCAAGTGACCAGAGACTCAATCACAGGACGAGGAGGGGCGAAGGGGAGCTCTCTTGGCCGGCTTTGGCTTGGCCAACAATCGTCGTCATCATCATCGTTGGACGTCTCGCTGTGCATCGAATTAGCGGTAAATTACAAGCTGCAATGAATGTTGCATGTTGCTGCTGTTACTTTCTGCATACACCAAGTGCAGCAGCAGCAGCACCAGCTTTACATTCCGCTGATTGCACACACAAATCCCAAGAGTTTTTCTTTCTTTCTTTCTGTTTTGACTCTTTCTCCTCGCTCCTCTTTATTATCTTTGTTTCGTTTCTTTGCATAAACATTTTTGGTATAATTAAAAGCAGAAATCCATCGGCAATTGCTCATCGAGCGGAGCCGCACTTAGGAAAGTTATTTTTTTTATTCATTTAAATAAAAATCAAAATACATTCAGTGTCGATTTTGGAATGCGATTTTGGTAAGGCGGAAATTTCGGTTTTGAATTTTTTGGTTCACTTGTTCGAGACTGAGAGAAAGAGAAATAGAATAAATAGAAAACCAAAAGCAAACAGCTTTAAAATATTAACAAGCTAATGAAGTTTAAATACCCTAACAAATTTAGCTTAAAACAAGAAAGGAAGCTAAGGCAACCCTTACAGATTAAAATTCAATTTTAATTATTTATATTTATGTTAAAAAACAATGAAGTAATTCCTGCTATCATTTCATTTTCAGTTTTGCATTTTCTCTATTTGTATCGATCGTTTTTGCTATATGATATAGTAGTCCGATTTTCATTTTACAAAAATTCTAGATTAATATATAATGGCTATATATCAAATATGATGAAAATATGTTGAAAACTGGAAAAATAATAATTAAAAATAATAAATAATAATTTTTTCTTAAAATTTTCCGATCGTTCCTATGGCAGCTATATATATGTATATATATAGTCCACCGATTCGCCATTCTCCGATTTATATATTAGTAAAATTATATAGAAGAATAACTCCATAGTTTCACTCAAATAGCTTGCTCTTTGTTCCAAAACAAATCTCGCACATCTGTACTTATGATTCCCAACTGGTTCTATCATCCCCGGAACGAAGTGTCTTCTGCCGGCCAAGTCTCAGACATGTGTGTTACAAAAGTTGCAAGTCATTGTTTATTAGTGTTCAAAGTTAGTTAGTGATCATTCATACATACTTACTGGTGATAGATACTTACTGTTTAGAGTTACTTGCTGGTCATAGATACTTAGTGATCATAGTTACTTACTGGTCATAGATACTTACTGTTCAGAGTTACTTAATGTTTATAGATACTTACAGTTCAGAGTTACTTACTGATCATAGATACTTACTGTTCAGAGTTACTTACTGATCATAGATACTTACTGTTCAGAGTTACTTACTGGTCATAGATACTTAGTGATCATAGTTACTTACTGGTCATAGATACTTACTGGTCATACTTAATTAATGATCATAGTTATTTACTTATCATAGTTACTTAATGTTCATTGATATTTACTGATCATAGTTACTATGTATCTCTTTGTCTCTCCTGACACTCTCTATCTTTCTCTCCTCACTCTAATTTCAAATTTCTATTTTGGTATGTCTATCTCTCTCTCTCTCTCTGTGTGTATCTTTAAAGGTGCCTCTTTCTCTCTATCTCCCTTTGCCTATCTCTGGAGACATCCTTTGCTCTTTCGCTTTCACTTTCTCTGTTCTCTTTACTCGGATAATATAAATACAGGCACTCATGTCGCGCTGACCTCATTCTGTCCGCGGCCTCCGCCCTGTTTACATCTAAAGTGATAGTGATAGTGATAGCCCTGCGACTTAAATAATATCACCTGACCAATGGAATACATTTGAAGAACCAGGAAGAAGCTAACTTCAGTGATATGATGAAAGGCGCAATAGAAGTCACCAGGAATAAACCTCTACACTGGAAGGAATTAATCAATCAATTATCATCTACTGCGGTAAGTCATAAATATGATAATTATATGACGTACATATATATGTAGATGCTATAGGATCTGGATAATTTTTTTTACCCTTGCAGGGTATTAAAAATAAAGGAATTTGGGGTGTTTTTATACCCTTGTAAGGTAATATAATTTTAGTCAGAAGCTTGTTACACATTGAAGGAGTCATTTCCGACCCTATAAATCATATATATTCTTGATCAGCATGAAAAACTGAATCAATCTAGCCATGTTCGAAAAAAAATTTTTTTTTTTAATTTTTAATATTTTTTAAGGGGTTTCATCGTTAAAATTGTCAAAATTTTACAAAAAATTTAATTTTCTTGAATTTTAAAACTGAGTATACAGATGTTTTACCTATTTAAAAACTAGCATAGAAAAGCTATCCGAATTAAATTTTACGCATTTTTGGCTTAGTTATGCTATTTTGAAAAACTTTGATTTACCCAAAAAAATACCATATAAAAATATCGATTAAATGTATACAGGAAAACAAAATAAATGAATATATTATATAAAAATATCTTTTCAAATCAGTATTTACAATAGAAACCCTAAAAATTGTTTATAAAATTGTTAAATTATTCAGCAAAATTAAGTCTTTTATGCCTGACGTCAAATTGACACTACAAAAAAATTAATAAAGTACCTTCGTGATGGAATTAAAAATCCTAAGAAACAATAAACTAAAAAATGTTTGGTAAAAAAGGCAAAAGAAAGACAATAGAGAGAAAGATACTTAGCTGAGATGGAGATATGTATGCCTAGGTAAGTCTGTGGGTAAATATGGTGTGTCTGTATGTATATGAGGCAGGTGAAATAAATGGAATAGCTAAGACGAATGCCGCAAACAAAAAAATTCAAAATAAATACGATCGACGTTTATGCGACCGCCAGTGGCAGGTACAGTGGGACTAAAAGTATACATTTTAAAAAATAAAATTTGATTTTGGAAAAGAAGCATTATTTTTCAAGCTTTAAATAAATTGTAGTCAAAGCAATAATTAATCTTATTTAATAATATTTAATATTGTGATTAAAACGAATTTTATATAATTTGAGAGCTTGAAACTTTGTTCTATGGATAATGATAAATTAATACCTTTAGGAACTATTATTAATTTCTAATTATTTTAGAATCAAATTAATTCTTAAAGTCCATATACTTGTGGCTTACTCAACAACAATCACGAATATAAATATTTTTAAATTATTTTATCCACCTGTTCCCTTTTTGTACATTAAAATACTTTTTATAAAATATATTATAAGTCTACAATTACTGAAATTTAATTATGTTAGAATCATATTTTATCTACAAATAATTTTACACTACTAAAAATGTTGAATTGCATTTTCCTCACGATTGACCCATATTTATTTCCAAATATTTCATATAAAATATATATCACAAAATGCAAACCGAAATTATAATGAATTATGATACCGATACTAATTTTCCCACTCCCCCTAGCCATATTTATTGGCCAAAAACTCGACCAACTTTAAAAATTCCACCATCAAAGTTGAAGTCTCAATCTCAATCTTGGTCTCTCAATCTCAGCACCTCGGCATCTCAGTTGCACCTGAGATCTGACGAAGAAAATCATTAAAAAAAACATAAAACAACAACTAAAACCAGTTTGAGGCCTTGCCACATTCCAGGCGATCCGCAGCTCTGCGATCTACCCACTGTGCCCCACTAGCTCTTGGCGGGTTCCACTGTGCCTCAGCTGTGCGGCAGCCGCAAACAATTAACTTTGGCAACAAACGAGTACTGCAGCGGCAACAACAACAATACTAACAACAATAGCAACAATAACAATAATAAAAGCAGCAGCGTAATAAGCAAGTGCCGACGTTAGCAGAGGCAGCAACGCCGCCAGCGACTGCGACGGCAGCAGCGACAGCGAAAGCGGCTGCGCCTGCGCACGTAAACAAATTCTCAGCGCTGCATATTTTCATTATGCCCTACAAAAAGGTGTTTAAGAAGTGTTTAAGAAGCTTGTAAGTTACCAATTTGTAAAGAAAATTAATAAATAAAACTTAGACTTCCAAGATAAATAATTTTTAAAATTTATTTTTACTACGTTTTGAGCTAAAAATGTATTGTTTTCTTTACTCTTAAGCAATACAATTATTCTGTCTGGTCAATAATTAAATATAACTAATATTCCTAAAATATCAAAAAATAATAAACAAATTGGGCGAAAAAAAGAAAAATACTATTGTATAGAATTTTTAGAATAATATTTTTAGATAATATCGATATGTTAATGATAAATTTAATATTTTGTAGTCGATAATATCGATATTTTAACTATAAATTAAATATTTTATTAGGGAATATATTTATATCAACAAAAATTATAATCGGAAAATGGGACAAAAGCTTTATATTAAATTTGTGAATAATATTTTGAGATATTTAAACGATATATCTATTATATTTTTTATTAAATTTATTAGAAATAATAAAATGTGAAATTGAGCAAGATATTTGTGTGGAAGTAATTCTCGGTCTTCAAATTTGTAACTTGCCTTTTAACATCTCCAACTTAAAAAACAATATATATCTTTTAAAGCTAAATTTATAAATAATCTCGACTTATTTTCTTAAGGTATGAACTATCTTCGACTTTGGCCAGCTAATCCAGCTTTCTTGTTTTTGTTTCAGGTAATTTCTGTGTGGCTGCCGCTGCTGCTGCTGCTTTTTTGTGGGTTTCTTGAAAGCAAAAATTAAAAAACCACAACAACCGACGGACGCGAAAGAGACGGCCTCTCGGCCAGACGAAAGAGACGGATAGAAGTAAAGAAACAACAGAAAAAACAAAACACAAAAAGAAAAAACAATCCCTGGCGAAACACGCCAACCCAGCGCGACTTTGTTGCTGCGGTTTTCAGTTGCCAGCGCGATTTTGAATGAGTTGTACGCGCGGCGAGTATACTCGAAAAACTTCCCCGAATCAAAAGATCGAAAGATTTCCAATAACAAATCTACGAATTTTACAATTGATCACATAAGCAAAGTTTAGTGTCTTCCCAGCTTTTTTAACAAATACAACACCAAAAAAGAAAATAATAATCTATCAAAGTGCCAACTGTTTTTCCGCCTTTTCCAATTACAATTTAAATTTTTGTTTTATTTTTTCAATGTGAGCGTGAAAATTGTTGTGTGCAATAAGCGGCGAATGCAGGCCAACAGAAATCACAGCCTCAACAAATACTGGTAAGCCGCTTCAAATATTTCAAAACAACAAAAAAACTAAAAGGAGAAATACAAAAATACAAAAAACAACGCCAGGTTCAAGTGTAACCAGTTTCCAGACTCCAAAAAAAAAATCAATTTTGCCGCAGGCAGAGCGCGCCCAATATTTCAAGTTCCCCGACTCTTCGGGATTCCTAAAAAGCTGGCTATTCAAATGTAAATCCCAACTTGTTCTTAACAGCCAAGAACATTCATTCCCTGAGCTATCAAGAAGTTGCTGCACTAATTGACTTGACTTGACCCACTCTTACAGGGACAATGGTTACAAAAAACAAAGGTAGAAGAAAGAAAATTCCAGAGACGTAGTTGGTTTTTTATTACTAGCAGGTGGAGTTGAAGGCAAATCGAACTTATCGATTTGAAATTGATAAACATCTAGGTTTTTTCTCCAGAACTTTTTGCGGTTGTTTAGCCATAAATAAATTGCAATAATGTAAGCCTATATTAAACAAAGGAAAGAAATTCCTGATACCAGAAAAAATATATTGTTTTGATTACTGGCAATTATAACTGAAGAATAATATATACAAAAAACGTCTAGAAATGGATAAACATTTGGCAGAAACACTGTACTCGAAGTGTTTAATTATTTCTTTTGATTTTGTAATATTATAATATTATTAAATATATTATTATAAAATATTTAGTGACCAGAATCTTTCTTGGGTAATTTAGAAATGGTAACTAATAAATAAATTTAACTTGAAATCATTTATGAAATTCTATGCATTTTTAAAGAATAATCAATATTAGCAGATTGAATTTCAATAATTTTAATTCAATATTAACAAATTGAAAACTTTTCTAATTCAAAAATAGACAAGTTACCTCGTATTCTTAAATATTTTTAAAAATTTCTGATATTTGTGAAGATAAAAGCTTTAGCCATAGATACAAATTTACAATCAAACATTATTATTATGATTTTATTTGGTTTTCTCCAAAATATAATTATTTCTTCAATAAATATGGTCAAAATTAATTATAATTCTAAAAAGAAACACAATAGAAGGTCTAAAAATCTTAACCATAAAATTTGAAAAGTAAATTTCAGTATTTAATCTGTTCAGAGTGTTCATAGTCTGATAATAACTAAAACATGGCATCCGTTTCCTGTCGCCTGCAAAATGGCACACTTCCTGTCCGCATTCCTTTTGCCTGTCGCCACCTGGCGGTGCATTTGTTGCCTTTTTGCCTGCAGGTGGCGTCACCATTGTTAAAATTCCTATTTCCGATTTTCGATTTCCGAATTCGGAATTCCAAGCTCCGAATTTCAGGGTATTTCAGGGTCTCCCTCTTGCTGTGGCATTCCTCGGCCAGTTCTGACTGGCTTTTGCGGTTTCATGTTTATCATTATTATGATTATTGTATTTTTTTTATATTTTCTGGTTTCCCCCACTTTTTTCTGTTCTTTAATTTTTTGTTACTTTGGCAAAGCTTTTAACATTTATTCGGCATCATCTTCGGTTTAAATGTCAAGCTCGTGTGGTCTCTTACAGGTCTGGCTCTTCAGCGCGTAGTTCTTGTTTTGCTTAGACAGTACACACTTGATAAAGTGAACAAATAGTATAAATAGGGGAAGATAACGAACAATAAAATAACTTTGTAAGATTGCCAAGTAAAGAATATGTCCAATGTCTTAGAATTTTCTAAGACAAATACTATTCCTTTTCAGCCAAAGTTCACTGTACTTATTCGTTGCCTCTTATTATTTGCAGCAACATCAGCAGTGGCAGCAGCACCACAAGCAGCAGCAGCGTCAATTGCAGCAATCTACATGCGGTCGTCTAACTGTAAAGCACTTGGCAACGGTCAGCAGCAGCAACAAGTGGAACGCACAGCAGCAGCACAAGCAGCAGCAGCAGCAACATCGGCATTTATTGCATAAACAACACTTACACACAGATAAAAGAAGTGTTTGTTTGTTTAACAACAAAAAAGTATATAAGAAAAGACAACAAATGCATTAAGAACCATGGCGGCAATTACGGCAACAACAGGTGTCAACGCCAGCAGCAGCACCAACAGCGGCAGCAGCAGCAACATCTTGCGATTGGATTTGGATCAACGTCAAAGGCCGATGCGCGGTATTTCGATAATCATTGAATCAGCTACATCAGAAGCTGCACCAGCAGCTGCAACAACAACAATAAGCAGCAACAACAACAACAGCAGCAGCAATGCTGAAATGTCGCTCAAGTCACAGGCTGGCATGTTGCTGGCATTTGGCGACAGCGGCAACACAAACACCACAGCAACACAAGCAGCAGCACCAGCAGCAGCAGCAACCAAAGATAATTTGGAAACTAGTTACGACACGGCAGCAACATACACAGACACAGAGACAGTCAATAGCACCAGCACAAAAATCTATCCACAGTTGTTGTTGCGCATTGGAGAGTCCGAGGATAACGGAGAAATTGCCAGCACAGGGGCAGCAACATCAGCTGCCATACCAGCAGCAGCAGCAGCAGCAGCAACAACAAGCACCATTATCAGCTGCAATGTGTTGCCAGCTGCAGCTGGAGCAGCAACAGCAGCAGCAACAACTTTAGGTGAAATTGCAGAGAGCGACATTGTAGTCGTTGCTAGTCAGCCAGCAGCAACAGCAGCAACAGCATCAGCAGCATCAGCAGCAACATCAAATAGTGCAGTGACCGAGCACACTGTTAAAATACAGATCGAAAGCCAGAGTCAGGCCCGAAATCTAGGCAAGCAAATCAGCGTGGTGAAGCTCAACGAGGGCGAGGAGATGGTGTTCCATCAGCAGCAGCAGCAGCAGCAACATCCCCAACAACATCTGCAGTTCCTTGTGTCCAGCGGTCAGTATTCGCCCTGCGAGACCTTGGACAGCGGCACTGGCAGCGATCTGGAGAGCGTCAAGTCACCAGAGATTGGAGGCAGTGCCGGCAACAATGCCGGCCAGGTGCCCAAACTGGAGCTACATTTGACCACCAACCGGCTGAAGGTCAGCGAGGTTTCATCGCCATTGCGTGCTTACAGTCTCACCGATTCCAGTGAGGAGTGTGACGAGAGCAGCAGCTCCTCCCTCAGCTGTGACTCGCTGCATTCGGGTGGCCTTCTGCCCACATCGTTGCTTCGTGATATTCATAGTCACCGGCAAACGAGAGATATTGCACCCTTGATATCCACCAAGATCGATGGCAGACCGCTGCAATATGAAGCCGATCGATTCTATAACTTTCATGTCAATGAGCACGAGAATTTCCGGAGTTTTGGCTCCACATCCTCTGCTTCAACGACGCCGGAATATGAGACGAATTCCGGCTTTCAGGAGGAACCGTCGCAGGACGACGATGCCTTTGTTGGCTATAAGGATGTAAGGGTGCTGGGATCCTCGGGTAAAGGATCTGCCAACTCCACCATCAGATCCGCCAAGGGAACAGTGAGGGGTGTCAAGAATCGTGTGCGCAATGGAGTAGCCACATTCTTGCAACTGCAACAGCCCAATGTCAAGGTGAGTTAAAAATATTTAATAACAAAAAGATAATAAAAGTTAAAAATCAATTGATAAAGTTATCGAGTGCTCAAGTAATCTAAAAAATAAACATCCCCTGAAATAGTTCATGTTGAAAAACAGTTCTCTTAAGTGAGTAATTAACTAAAAGTGAAGCTTCCACACAAATAAAGTATTTCAAAAAGTAATTAAGATTGTTGAAATTAAAGGGAAAAACATTTGCAAAATTGATGTAAAAACACATTTTGATTTTGATCCGTTCAAAAGTGCAATCTGCAAATAAATTCAGTGAATGTTTTGCAGACGTCTCCATAAATTGCACTTGAAGTATGTAATTTAATAAATTGTTTTTGTTGTGTGAAAAATGTTTTCACAATGAAGTGTAATTAAATTCACTTGCATTCACAACCAGTCTTCTTTTATTTCTCTTGCTTTTTTCTTTTTTGTATAACAAATGTGTGTTTGGTTAAATTAGCAAGCGAAATTTATGGGAAAAATCAAAGTGATTTCAATGAAAAAGTGACAGTAGTCAATGCTTTGTATTTATGGCATTAATTAAGCATTTTTTTTTATTGACACTTGTGCTGCTCTAGACTGTGTCATTAAACATTATAGAATGTACTCTTAAATTTATTTCAAAAACCTTGACAACTTCAATTACAGTTGGCACCTAAATCAAGTAATTATAAAGTGATTCGAAAAAGGGGTGTGTGAGGGGGAAGAGTGTTGTAAATAAATGGGGAAAATTAAAGAAATTTTAATTTTGGATTAAAGAAGAGTATTATCTTTTAATAAATTTAAAAATATTTCATATCGAAAACTTTAAAATAGAAACTGCAAATAAAGTATGTGCTTTTAATGAATCAACTCCATATGAAATCTAAACTTAAATGTATTTCTATTTTCCATTTAGTTAAATACTATTTTACCTATTTGTTGACCTTTTTATTTCATAATTTATTTAATTGTTTAATTTTTTAAGCCTTTAACTTGGCTTATTTATATTGCAAATGCTTAAAACTGGCCCCATGATTCAAGCAAAACCAAACAAACAGTCATTCAATCGCATGTGGGTGTTATTCATTGAGAAAGTTTTCGTTTTCGTTATGAATTTCTTTTTTTTTTTTTACTTTTATATATTTGTTGTTTTCTTTTTTATTGTATTTATTTTTGCATTTTTTCTTTGCATTTTCTGTGTGCATTTCTTTGCCTATTGCCTTTCGCGTGGGACCGGACTGTAGGTCGCTGACTTGCTCACCCACACTAGAAGATCTTTCCATCTGCAGATGCATTTGTGCAGATGCAGATGCAGATGCATCTTGCAGATACTCAGACAGCATTATGCAATAAATTCATAGATACATATGCATATTGTGTTTATATATATATATAATCTCATGTGAGGGCTTGTTTGTTTGCCGACTCGCTTTGTTTGTTTGTTTGCTTGAAAATGTTTGTTTGCTCGTGTGAAAGTGAATCCAGACTTTGTTGGGTGACTCACTCGATAAATCACTGGATTTTATATTTTATTACATTATTATATTGTCTCTGGATTTTTTTTAGAAATTTCTTTCTTGAAGACAATTAACACCTTCCACCATTAAGTGGCTTAATATGTCACATACGTAGGGTTTCGCCTCTATTTGGGCATCGGATCCGCTTTGGAGAGAAACACAGATATATAAAGATATATATAAAGAAAGTTGACGGAAGTACAGGGTCAGATAGTCGGATAGATAAGTTAGATAAATGCCGGGCTTAAATGGTCCGCTACTTGACTAATTGCAAGTGTCTCTTTGTCTCTCTCTCCAACTTTTGATTTCTATTTTTAAGCGGCTTTCTTTTCGCTTTTTTTTCTTGGTTATTTGGGAAAGTTCTTTTGGGTTCCCCTTATACGAAGTGACCCATTTTTATATATATATATTTTTCTTTTTGGAATATCAATGTTATTGAGCTTGAATTGGCCATGCTCGCACTTTTCACAAATGCCTCGTCATCGCTGGGGCTTATAGTATTTTATTTATTTCACTTGGTGTTATATTTTTTTGTTGAGTGAATTGCTTGTCTTCGCATATTGTTACACATTTTGTTGTTGCTGTTGCTTTTTGCGAAATCAATTTACAAGACTGAGGGTATCGAATTAACCCTGGACAGTTGGGCAATATTGACAACTATCTAATACTCGTATCCGATCTGATTAGGCGCCAAGAGATCAGGTGGAACATATATATAATATCGTTCGAGGTTTGGTTTTTTTATTACTTGGTTTAGTTTTAAATATTTAGAGGAGTTTTGTGGGGATTAAATTAAGTCTTTTATAAATAGTTGTACTATAAAATTAATTGAAAAGACATTTATTTTCCATTTAATATTTCTTAAAAGATAGGTTACTACTGAGAAATAATTCAATTGATAAAATTACTATTAAAATAAATCAGTTTTGACTATTGTTTCTTAAAAATGCTTAATTGTTTTGGTTCCAAATATTTACTTTAGTGTGTAAAGCATGATTTTAGGCTTTAAAAATACCTTTAAAGGAAAAATTGATTGGTTAACCAATATTTTCCCATTTTATAGTTCCTCAAATATATCTTACTTTCAAGAAATAATTTAATTAATGCAATAATGTTTAATATAACTCCGTTTTTAGCATTGTTCTTCTTGAAATTATTTGCTTGCTTTAGTTTTTAATATTTACTTTAGGCTCTTATTAATAAATAAATTTAAAAAAATGCTTGTTTAACAAAAATTAACTAAAAATAAACTATTCTACCTTTTGAACTTTTATTATTATAATTTATAATTCAAAATCCATATTATTTTACAAAATATTTAAATATATCAAAGTAGTGGTTTGCAGAATTTAATTTTTTAAATTTCTCTGTGAAAAATAAATTTGTATTTAAGTTTTCCCATTCAAAACTCAAACTAGTCCATAGTTTAATAGCTTTATCCTATTTAAGTAATATTATTAAAGCCCCTCGACCTTCAAAACCAATTAATTAAAGCCCGAAAAACATATACATTATTCATTTCACAACTTAAACAAATGTTTTTAATGTCTCTCATCAAATTAAATGTCAATCTTTTGGTGGACTCATCAAAGTATTATTGGTTAGTCTGTCGTCTTTTTCCTTTTTGTTAGCTTCTTGTGGATTTTCTTAGGCAAATTAGCAAAGCCAACCTTGAAACCAAAATCAATATAAATAATTATTGGCAACGAACTAAAAAAAGGTGAAAAATAAAAGGCAAAAGAAACAGCATTATTTTGGCTAAAATAAGCTTGCATAATTTTTCAAGAAACGCGCAAAAATAAAAAGAAATATATACACAAATTATAATAATAAAGAGCGACTAATGCGTTAATTATGCAACAACAACAACAACAACAATCGGATATATACTTTGTCAGACAGATCGAATTATATTTTATGGGCCACACAGTCGTCGCTGATTCCTTTTGGCATTTTCGTGTTCAGAGACGAGTCTTTAACTCGATTCGAGCGGTGTCATTAAAATATCATTTAGCTAATTTGACTTTAAGCATATATACTCGAATATATACTCATGTATACTCAAATATATACTCAAATCTACTCTCGTACCCATTTGAGGGTATTTCGTGTCTGTCCGTGTTTACATACTAATAGGCATTGGCCAGAAAATGAAAGTTTATCTCCGTGTGTAATGACCCGATGACAAGCCCGCTTACACGCCAAAAGTCCCCTTCGAAAAAATGATTGTAATTAAATGAATTTTAACCAAAATGACCGATTTAAATCTTTGAAAATGAAGGCGAAAAAAACCCCCTTTAGAGGTCTTTGTTTAAAGATATATATTTATGAATTTGATAAACAGAATGATTTTTAAATACTACATTCTGTTAGGTCTTCTAACTTCTAATTTAAATATATAATATTTATTTTATTTTCTTTCTAAATATGTGATATATTTAAATGGTATTATAACTAATATATGTATCAGAATAATACCATTTAATATATTTAAGAAAGCTGAAGATAGGTATTGTTTTAAAAGAATAAGTATTTTCGATATTTAATGCATAGGTTATTATTTGAGAAAAAATATAACTAATAAATATTTGTAATATTTAATGTAAAAATAATTATTTGAAAAGAAACATCTTTAAGTCTAAAGACACATGATTTTTTTTAACTGCTGACGCTCATTTACTATCCATCCAATTTTTCCCATTTTCCCGTCTATTTCTTTTAATCTTTTTCTTGTTTTAATGACAACAACAAAAAAATGGTAATCTTAAACAATAGTAACCATTTTTAATACCCTCAATTAAACAAAACGAATTTTATGCAAATAAAGAAACAAAGAGAAAATTTTAAGTCACAAAATGACAAACATAAACTTGGTGGGAAACAAATTTTTTACGAAAACATAAAACAGGCTCCAGAAATTTAAGCTATAAAAAATAAAGGTTGGGCATCTTTGGTTAATTTTTGGAAATTTAAGCTAGAAATTTATGGAAATTGTATTTAAGAGAATAAGAAATAATCTGAATTTTAAGAAATAAATAATTTTAAAGGGATTTATTAAGGAGATTTATTTAAATGCACTTATTATCACATATATTTACCAAGCTTTGACTTGTTTTTCTATCTAAACATATATTGATATATTCTCTATATTTAGCCACTGACTTAAATAAATATATTAATAAGTTTTTGTTAGTATATGAATACATATTTATGTTTGTAAGACTTGATCAATTTTTAAAAGCATTTTGGGTTTGTAAACCTAACATTTTTACCCTTAGGACCTTCTCTTAAATGTATATTATAGAAAACTTAAGCCTTATATACAAAGTTAAAAATATTTGTATATCTCCACATAATACCTAACACTCCCTCTTAGTTTTTTTTTATAATTTTTTTTGTTTATATTTCTTTCAAACACTGTCGGAGAGCAAAAAAGGGTCTTCAAATTTTATACGAAAATGTACGTGACCGGGCTGCAGATTTATGCTATGCTATCTCCTCTCAAGATTTACATAGTTTCATGAACTGAAAACGAGAGTGCAATAAATAAAACAAAAAATAATAATAAAAACAAACACACACAACAATTAAGAAATAAAAACAACGCACAAGATTGTGTGGCGCTCAAGGGGCGTTAGCTGCATTTTAATTTCAATTTGCATTCAGGGCCAAAAGAAAGTCGAAGTGGGCTTATTAAAATATCCAATTATTGCAAAATTGAAGCTCGTTCAGGGCATGAACTGAATGGAAGTTGGGAGTCTGAAAAAATAAAAACTGAAACTGAAAACAAAAAACCGAAAAAACCAAACCAAATGAAACGAAAGTGAAATGTTTCCACTCCGCTCACGTACGAGTGTGAATTTATGCAAAAAGAAAGGAGGCGGGGGTTAGTTATATGTACATATAAATATATATACAAATATATATATATATTTGTATATATATATATATATCTTGGGGATATATTTGGGTGTGAGAACCGACTTGCAGACAGATCTTGGCTCTACCCTAATACAAAACCACAAAAAACCAGCAAAGGCCAAGGAAAGTTACAAGCCAAAATTGCATATAAAACAGTGCGTTTCGGTCGTGTCAGGCTTTGAATTAGTAAATTAATCATTTTACAAATGCTTTTAATTGGGTAGAAGGTTTTTTCTGCGTTAGTATATATTTATTAAAGAATTTATGAATAGTAAATAATATGGTTTTTACTAGAAACAAAAATTGTTTAGATTAAATGAGATTCTATGATATTCCCTTAATGATTTCAATTTAAAATGTATTATAAAATTAAGAAAACAATCTATTCACGAAATAAACAGCTTATTATATTATTTTGTTATTAGTTAATAAAATGATATATATATATATATATAATATGTTATTATTATTAATAGTTAGCTTCCTCTATTTTACTTTTAGAGCACTCAAAGTTCGTTATGCTTAAACTTTAAAATCTGATATTTCTCTGATATTTTTTTGGCAAGAGAAAAAAACAAGAAACCAAAGGCCAAAAATTTATTCCCATGATTATGCCAAGTTGCCTAAAAAAAATATATATATAACCAAAAACCCATCGATATGGGCATCGAAAAAACGCACTTTCTGTGCGTCTGAAACAAAGACTTATGTAACTTATGGCCAGTGTGACGTATTAATTGGGTTTTTTTTCTGGGTTGGTTTTATTTTTTATATATTTTTATATATATTTCTTTTGGGAACCACTGACTGGAGCTCCTTTGAAGACCAGATCAAAAGCTAGCGATTGCCAATCCCCTTCTTCCCTTATTCAACAAGTGACCTGCTTTCTCTTTCGCGGCACTCGAGAAATTTTTGAAGATCTTATTATTATTATTTTTTTTTTGAAGCTGCTGCTGCTCTAAACATAATGTTGTTAACTTCTTTTTTTCCCTCTGGTTTTTGAAGTTCTTTAAGAGTTGCTCAGTTGGGGTTTCTAGTGTCAGAGTTCAGGGCCCCAAATTCAGATACAAACATACTCCATCTCGTGTTTATTACATTCAATGGCTTTGAACTCTATATCTCGGCGACAAAATGAGCCCCGTTTAGTTGGACACTTAATGGCAATTATTAATGTACCAGTTTACCAGTTTTACATTTGTTTATGTCTCTCTCTCTCGTGTTATGTTTGGTTATTATGAGCCATATATTAAATAACCCAACGCCACCTGAGGCGATGCAGCTCCATAGCCATAGCCATCGCCATCGCCATCTCCATTTCCATCTGAATCTGGACACCTGTTGGCGAGCTCAGGTTGCCTTGGCGGCTTATGCAAGTGCAATGAGCCGATGCAGTTGAAAAAAAAATTAAAGAAAAGCTGTAAACCAGACATGGTTGATACCCTATAGGGTGTCAGAAGAAATATATACATATAACCCTTTTGAGGCAGAAAATGGGGAAAAGAAAATATTATAACAGAATATTATGTAGAAAACCTATATTTATAAAGTCATATAAATTTCCTCTATTTTTAACGATCATTTGTATGGCAGCTATATGATATAGTAGTCCGATTTTCAGAAAAGTTTACACAAAGTTCTAGATTAAATATAATGGCCATATATCAAATTTGATGAAAATCTAATGAATACTGGAAAAGTTCTAATTTTTTTTCTTAAAACTTTCCTATCGTTCCTATGGCAGCTATATATATGTATATATATAGTCCACCGATTCGCCATGCTCCGATTTATATATTAGTAAAATTATATTAAAGAATAACTCCATAGTTTCATTCAAATAGCTTGCTCTTTATTCCAAATCAAATCTCACACGTCAGTACTTATGATTCCCAACTAGTTCAAACATCCCCGGAACGAAGTGACTTCTGCCGGCCAAGTCTCAGACATGTGTTGTGTTTCAAAAGTTGCAAGTCATTGTTTATTAGTGTTCAAAGTTAGTAACTGATCATACATACATACTTGCTGGTCATAGATACTTAGTGATCATAGTTACTTACTGATCATAGTGACTTACTGGTCATAGTAAATTACTTGCCATAGATACTTAGTGTTCACAGTTATTTACTGGTCATAGGTACTAGCTGATTATAGTTACATACTGCTCATTGTTAATTTCTGGTCATAGTTATCTACTGATCATACATACCTAATGTTCATAGATACTTAGTGATCATAGTTACCTTCTGCTCATAGATACTTACTGTTCCGAGTTACTCAATGATCATAGTTACTTACTGTTCAGAGTTACTTACTGCTTATAGATACTTAGTGCTCAGACTTACTCACTGCACATATTTAATTACTGATCATAGTTATTTATTTATCATAGTTACTTAATGTTCATAGATACTTACTAACCACAGTTAATTAAAATACCATGCAAAGGTATAAATATTAATAATAAATATCAAAAGAAGTAAGTAATAAGGTAAAAATATAAATAATAAGCATTAAAGTAATGAAAGAAAAATAAAATAACATGAAATAAATTACATTTTTAATATTTGTTCATTTATAAATATATATATTTATTTAACATATATAACATATATAACATATCTAACTCTGTTCATACCCTGTAATTATGTGATTTATTTTTTCGTATAAATCAGATTAAAAGCCTTTTCACTCTACAATTTCCAGCGAAACATATTGATTTAATTTGTGAAATATAAATAACATGAAATTATAACCAATTAATAACCAGCCAAGCGATCAGTTGAAATTATTTTCTTGGGAAACAAGTTAATGTAAACTAATTCCCTTGTGTCAGCGATCCAATATATATATATAAATATATATCTAGATATATAGAGTCAGCTATCCAGCGGCGACAGAGCCAATTAATTTGATACATTTTTTGTTGTATTAATATCAGTGCTTAATTGATGTTTCTGATGCCATTAAATCATGGAAAATTTGACAACTCACTGAGGAAAGTTTCGTCAACGTTTAAGTCACCGCGGGAAACTCGGAAAAGTCTCGTTAATCAGGCTGACTAACGGAAGAGACCCCTCTGCCCCCTTCCCCTCGCTAAATAAAACTCGTTCATCGAATCGAGCGAAATATTTCCAATTTTGCGTGGTGTCAGGTTTTCACTTTGTTTCCATTTCACATGCGTAATTTTCAATTGAATTCGTTGTTTGTATCTTTCAGTGAAAGAACTGAAAGATGTATCTCTGTTCTGTGCCCGATCCCAACCCGTTTGTCTCCGATTATTTCAGGTATCCAAGCTAATGAGTTTGGCAATCTCTGGCTCGGTTTCGTTTAACAAGTATTTCGCGTTGTCCAAATTGCTGTTGGCCAGCAATTAGCAGGCAATTTGTAACAGCAATTCTCCAGCAATATCTTTATATACATATATACTTGTATCTCTATGTGGCTCAAGTGTTTTATCAAGGTTTTTGGTTAATTTTTGGGGGAAAGAAGGGGAAGGTTGAAACAAAGGCAGTTCGGGCCAGGGTGAGCCAAAGAAGATGCCCTCGATTTATTAGCCATGCCAAAAGTTGGCTTATTGTAACAAAAACCGTTTAATTAGGTCTTCAAAATATGGTTGTGCAGGTGTGAAATAACGAATTAGTGGAAGAGTTTTAAAATAAGAAACAACGAAATGGGTATTTTTGGGACCTACAACAGCTCAAGTTTATTTTAATTAGTGGAAATTATAGCTCCCAAAGTCATTAAAGATTATATTTGGAAAGTGAAATATTACATTTTTAAATAATAAATACTTTTTTGGAGAAATGTAGATCTGATAAAAAAGAAAATATATTTTCACAAGCATTATTATATTTTATTTTAAAGAAAATGATATTATTTGTTGATAGAAAATATACGTAATCAGCTTTTAGACTTTTTTTCTCTGTTTAATAATATGTTTTATATTTATACTAATTAAAATATATATCTAAACTTAATTTTCATTAACAGAACTACTTGGAAAAGGACATGGGCAAGGTGGTTTTGTACACCACCAGCATGGGTATCATCAGGGAAACGTATGCCAAGTGTGCCAATGTCAAGCAGATCTTGCGCACTCTCCTAATTAAATTCGAGGAACGGGATGTCTTTATGAGCCTTGAATATCAGCAGGAGATGAGGGAAAGGATGCACGACGAGGCCATCAGTGTGCCTCAACTCTTTGTTGAAGGCCAGCATATTGGGGTAAGTTTTAAAGTGATTTTACACCAAGGAAAAGCCTTAAATAATTAGTTATTTAATCATAAACAGGATGCCGATGTTGTGGAAAGGCTGAATGAAAGCGGTGAACTGCGACAAATGCTCAAACCATACAAGGTAGGGGGAATTTTAATATTAAACAATATATATTAAAATCATATTAATACATATATATTTTTTCCATATTTTTCAGTCCATTGCCACAGCCTATACGTGCCAAATGTGCGGAGGATATCGCCTGCTGCCATGTCCTTCGTGCAGCGGCTCTAAAAAGTCCGTTCATCGCAATCACTTCACAGCCGAATTTGTGGCTCTAAAGTGCATGAATTGCGATGAAGTTGGCCTGGTCAAGTGCCCCAATTGCTGAAGAAGGAATTATATAGATAGATTCCCGAAGAACACAAAAACCCCCCTTATTATATATATATATAAATGTATATCTATTTTTTTTTGTATCTTTATCTGAGATGAGGAGAAGTTCTTTTTTTTGTCGTGCGCAATTCTAGTAGTCGCTTATTATTAACAGTTGTGATATTTGAGAGCAGTTTTTGTGGTGGCCGGAAGTTAGGGGCCGAGAACGAAGCGAAACGAAACGGAATGAAGTGAAATGGAACGGAAAGACACACACATACACACAAACGATGAAACCTACATATGCATATGTGAATTGAAGAGATAATCGAATAAAATATGAAATTATACTTTGTTTGCTTTTTATTCATGTTTCTTATAGATGCTGTTTTTTGTTATTTATATTTATTTATTTTGCAGTGCCTGCTTTTAGGCCGTATATATTTCTTTGAGTGTAAAAAATTCTTAAAATGAAACTTAATTGTTGTTTACTTTTGGGCTAAATATTGGTTTAGCTGGAATATTTTCAAGGGAAATAAATTTATGTTATACAAGTAAAAGCTTTGAGATCAAAATACTTCAAGAAATATTACAAAATAAATGCAAAATATTTGTAAAATATTATTATTAAATTTATAATACTTATTTTTGGTCATTATATTAATTTATTAGCAACACAAAGCAAACATAATTAATCAAGTGATGAGGTAGTAAGTTCACCCTAAGTAGGCAACGTTTTTATGTTGCCCATCAAAGTAGGCAACACATTTCGACTAAGTCAGCGGAAGTCGCTCAACTGCAAAATGGCTTCCTCAGAAATGGAATATTGTTAGATATAATTAAAAATATATATATATATGATATATAAACTGATATATACATATATTTCTATTTTTATAATAATACCCTGATAAATTAAAAAATGTAGAAAACTAATATTATAATTTATGATATTATTTTATATTCTTTTAGAGATTTATAATTGTTGTCAGAAGTTTATAACATAAACTAGGCATTTCCGACCCTATAAACCATATATATTCTTGATCAGCATCAACAGCCAAATCGATCTAGCTTTATTTCTATGACAAAAAATTTTACTTAATTTTTTCAACATTTTTTAAGGGCTTTCATCATTATAATTTTCAAAATCTCAACTAAAAATTTATTTTTCTTTTTTACATTTTACATTAAGTATGCAGATTTATTGACCTGTGAAAAACTAACATTGGACAGCTTTCCGAATTGAAATGAAAGCATTTTTGGCTAAGATATGGTATTATTTAATTTGAATTTGTCATCAATAATACTACTTTAATTTCTACTTACTTATATTATAATTTTTTACTGCTCAACCAGGCTTTGAAATATCTGTCTATGCCTAGCTTTTAGGACTTGTCTCTCGTTTTTACATTCAGTATCGTTTTTACATGCTGTGCGGTTTCAAGTTCGTTGTGTGTGTATATATATATATTTATTTTTCAAAAAATTGTAAAGATATCTGGGTCGAAAAAACGAAATACAAATAACGTGGTTAAAAAAAAAATCGAATAGAACTCGGCCAACTTCCTGACCTTTGACCTCGAAATGGAGGCGATCAGGGGATTATACCAGCCGCAGGAGCAGCAGGAGCAATCTGAGTTGAACGATAATAACTTCCCCGATAATGATGGAAACGAGGAGGCTGTGCCTCTTGAGCTCTTGAATCACGCCGAGACCCGTGGCAGTGGTGGCTCTAATAATTTTTCTGACAGTCATGAACCGGTGCAGAGTCGCACCTGTTGGATTTGCTTTGCCACCGATGATGATAATCGTCATGCCGTGTGGCTGCAGCCGTGCAAATGCCGTGGTACCACCAAATGGGTTCACCAGAGTTGCCTCTATCGTTGGATCGATGAGAAACAGAATGGCAATCATCTCCGTGCCGTTGTCTGTCAGCAGTGCCAGACGGAATATATCATCAAGTTTCCCAAAATGAACAAACTAGCCACTGCCCTGGAGTGTATTGATTATGCAGTTTGCCGAATTTGTCCCTATCTCACAGCTGGTGTATTCTTTGGCTGCGTTTATTGGGCAGCGCTCACATATGGAGCTTTTACTGTAGTACAGGTATGATATATATAACGATATAGAAAGATATCATTATATCATAACATATATTATCGCATTTAGCTCAAAAATATTAATAATATTGGTAGATTAGTCTCCTATTTTGGATTATTTTGTTCAGATATGTAAAATACCACATTGAATTTCCACTCTTACATATAAATTTCAACGTTTGAATATTGTTTTATATATCGAATTTCACTTCAATTATCTATATAGTTGTGATATAACTGTTTTTTTAAACACGGTTCATTAATATTATTATTCTTTAGTTATCCTTCATGAAAGTATTACAGCTTAACTTTAAACATAATGGTATCCTTAAGATATTAGCGCTTAACATTAAATATGAAAGTAGCTTTAAGATATTGCAGCCTAAAAGTAAACATTAAAGTATCTTAAAGACATTAAACATGAGAGTATCTTGAAGATATTATATATTATCTTCATAGTACTAGTGCTTAATACCTTCTTCTTTAACTTCCTATTGATGGTATATAAATACTAACTATTGATATTAACTCGATATTTAATTAATACCCCAACTTATTTCTCCCCATCTCCAAATTAGATCATGGGCCAAAAACGTGGCATTGAGCTCATCGAGGACTGGTGTCCCTATGTGTTTATAATTCTCCCTGGCATACCGACGGTCCTGATCTTGTCCCGTTTCGTTCGCTGGGAGAATTTCGTCCTGCGGATCATGAGAAGCAGGTACAACTTCCTCCGGAAGCTCCCCCTGTTGCATTGGAGCGGGGAACCAGAAGTTGAGAACAGAGGCGGCAGCTCCGAGGGATTACCCCCCGTCGAGATAAATCCCTTTGCGGATCCCCTTAATATCGATAGACTTTTTTGCGGTGCCGTGCTCCTGCCCACAATTGCCACCTTTGTGGGCAGTTTGCTTTTCTATCGCTATGAGGATCCGGTGCAACGCACCCTTCTCGGTGGCATCACCTACATTGTGGCCAAGGGTTTGCTAAAGATCTATCTTCGGCAGAAGCTGTACATTCGCAATCGTCGCCTTCGCATCCTTGACTACACCGATGAGAATGTGCGACTCCATATGGGCGGTCAGATTCGAGAGGCACCCGCCCAGGATCAAAATCGAAATAATGTACGTGTAAATGCTGGCTTTGTTGAATACTACGATTCGAGTGAAAATTCTGGAGATAACGAAATGGACAATGGGACAACTCCAAATGCGGATGGGCATCAGGCAGAAACCAGTGCTCCCCAGCCGAACCAGGACTATTACAGTGTCTCAATTGGAGAAGATGATACTTAGTCTCCTTGTGGATCCAAGGAGCAGGATAATACTCAAAAACATGTCTTTATTTTTGGTAACCCACAGAACTAAATTCATTAAGGAAGCATATGAATATATATATATTTTTTTGGACACAAGTCATGGAGATACTACACAGGAAGACAAATCGTTTACCTTGTTTGCACAATTAATGGAATCAATCACATTCATATACTTTCAAATCAAATTTATACAATTTAGAAAATGATTCAAGAAAGAAGATGCAGTACTAAGGAATATAATAAATTACTTGTTTTTTTTTTATACGTCAATTTCTAAATTTAAACAAAAGGAACACAATAATAAAATTGTTGGAAAGAATTGTTAAAATTAATCTGTGGAATTGTTTTTATCTAGTGCATTGGGAATTAAATATAAATAAATATATATAATATAGTACAAATAGATTAGCATTAGAAACTCTATCGATCTTTGAGAGTCTTTAAGATTTGTTTAGCTGACGGAAGGAAAAGTTCAATACACAAAAATAACATCATATCGAAAATATAGTAAACTTTGTTATATATTAATTTTAAACATACAAAATATTGTAAACTTTATTATATTGATATTAAAATATAAAAAAAAAAATCGGCATTTAACGTTGAGGCAATGCTTTTTTTAAAGAAGCAACCAAATTTTATATGTATCGTATTTATATTTGCTTCCGATGAAATTAGTAATTGATAATGGTTTTATTGCAACATTAAATCTATTTTTAGTGTAAGAAATATTATTATATTATATCTATTAAAGTTTCCATAAAATGTGGGTATTGAATCTGTATATATATATATTTGCTGTTCCTATTTTATATTGCAGATGAGAATTTCTTCATTTAAGTTCCTTGTTTATGTAAATTTACTTTTTAAAGCAACCGAACTTATTGTTAACTCTGTTCTTTAAAATCTAAGCTATATAATTTTCTCCCTTTTCAGAGATATAGTAGGCCTTGACTTTGCTGTTGGGTTTCCAAATTTGTCAGTCTTAGGAGTGTGTAGCATTTTCACACATCTCGTTCAACATTTCGGTCGACACATTCTCGAAAGTCAAATAAAGGCAACTCGTTTGTAAATCTAAAAAGTAAAAGTAAAATTTTCCCCTGACTTGGGGCGTATTAAATATTTTCGATCCTTGTTTTCGCGCTCTTTTGGTATAAGAAATTCAAAAAATTCAGAAAATTATCAATCAAGACGAATCACCATTATCAAAAACGTTGAACTTCTTCCTTCTGCGCTCTTTTGATCCAAGAAATACAAGCAATTGTCAATCAAGACGAAGACCCATTACCAAAAACGTTGAACTTCTTCCTGCTAAGCTGTTTTGATCCAAGAAATCTACGAAATCAAGTCGAAGAATCATCAATAATACCCAGATCCAGATCAAGAACAAAAGAATTGCTCAAGTTTAGATGTTATTTATATTTCTGGAAGCTTGAAAGAAGATTCCAAAATCAACTCTCAACTGTACCATTGGAAAAGACTGTCTTTGAGGAGCCACCTTCAGGATGTCGGACCGTAAGGCTGTGACCTGTGTACTCAATGTGGTCCTTTGTGGAGCCACTGGGTTTGGTTTCGTCAAGGCTGCACCTGCTGAGCATCCTTGGGCCTTCACCGCTTGCCTCATTGGATTCTGTCATGGTTTGACGGGTCTGCTCCATGCCCTGGTTGATCATCATGATGATGAAGACCATCGCAATCATTTTAGAAAAGCCCATAGGGTGACATCTAGAATCATGGAGATTATACCCTTGCCGCTGGTCAATGTGGATCTATATCTGGCCGCGGAGAGTAACAATATAGCCTTGGCCCATGGCATGTTCCTGGTCCCGCTTGGAATAAGTATGATTCTGGGACTGTTCAGGAGCGAAGTAGAGAACGAGGATTTCGGCACTTTGGATACCCTAAAGGTTCTCACCATATTGGGTAATATCACTTCGCTGGTCTTTCTGGCCATCAACGACAGCAGCTGGAAATTAGGTGGAATGGCCTTCCTTGCCTTCATGGCCAAGTTCGGGGCCGAGTACGTCGAGGATAAATGGGTCGAGCGCAGCGCTATGCCCATTACCTACATCAGCTGGTCAGGATTCTTTATTCTTGCTGCCTTGGCCGTATCGGGAGAGAAGTAAAATATATAGAGAATTCCTGCATTTTCAAGGATCAAATTTGCTAGTTTTTGAAGTAACTCCAAGCTGAACCCGTACTTAAAACCAATGAACCCTTGAACGAGCAAAATGTTGAATAAATTTTGCAGCAACAAAATAATGTTAAATTTAATGTGTTTATATTTATGCACAATTAAAACAAAAACAAGGGTTGATTCACATAAGAAAGAAGAATTTTTAGGCTTTTTTTTTATATATTATTTTATATCCCTATTATACTTCCAGTAAGAAGCTTAAAATGCAGTGAATCAATCATTTCCGACCCTATTATTCATATATATTCTTGATCAGCATCAACAGCCGAGTCGATCTAGCTATCTCAGACCGAACAATTTTTTTTCAAATTTTTTGGGGGCTAACATCGTTAAAATTATCAAAAAATTGAAAAAAGAAAAAAAAAATTTTTACATTTTATATTGAGTATGCAGATTTAAAAACCTATTCAAAACTAACATAGAGCAGCTTTCCGAATTGAAATTATTTCATTTTTGGCTGAGTTATGAAGTTTTTAAACTGAATTGTCATATAAAAATCTCTATAAATATTAATTAAAAGTATGCGAAATTTTAAATCTTAGTTAGGGTCGATTTCCGATTTGATCCCATAATTCAAATTGGGCTTCCCGAAATTACTTTTATTTTTTGTTTAAAGTTTACAATCTTGATTCAGTTTCAGTTAAATAAGCAGAATAAGACTAAGCTTGAATAAAATGTGTTAAATATGTTTAAGCCAATTTTTAATGGTAAGTAGTTGAAACAAGTGATGTGGTTTATGAAGCTTAAGTAAAACCGTTTTTAAATAGTTTTTAAACTTTTTTTTTTATGAAAAATATTTTAGGAAAATGTTGTGTTTTAGAATTGAATCATACAATTTCTGGATAATTTTTAAACAATTAAGAAACACTGTGTGTTATAGAAGCCTAAAACATATTATATTTTAGAAATGATTTCTTTTGTGTTATACTAAATCTATGTATTTTACAAAAGAAATCGATTCCTAAATGGTATAAAATCTTAATGGTTGATAAGAAAAAGGGTGTATTGTGTAAGCTTACATCAAACTATTATTTAAACATTTCAAAACCATATTCGTTTGGAAAATCTTTGAGAGACAGTAGGATTTTCATTTCACTTTTAAAGAAAACAGAACTAAGACAAGGCTCACTTTCATTGATAATTAAATTACTTGATCTTTAATTGTCACTAATTTAATTGTTATGGCATTGCATTCCGCTCGAAATGCTCGACCTGAGGGCATTAAGTAACCAAAATCGCATTGGACACGCCCAGGGTTTATTTTTTTTTGTGGAACCCCTTCTCCCTCTTAAAAATACCCCCAAAAACCCCTCTAATACCCCTTAAAAAAAGAGTGTAGTGTGTTGAGAAAAACCCCTTTTCTGCTGACAATAAGAACTAATAAATTTTAAGACCTAATGTCAACAAATCGACGGTAAGTAGGGGCACGCACAATTCAAACAGTGAAGCTTGGCTACCAAAAAGGCCTAACCCGCCGCCCCCTCCTCAAAAGCGTGCTCAATGGGCATGACAGTCACAAGAAATAAGAAAAAAAGAAAAGAAAAAGAAAAAAAAACAAAAAACAAAACACAAGAAAAACAAAAAAAAACAAAAGATATAAAACAAAATTGTTGTACAATTTTTTTTTTTTGGGCCGTGTCTTGTGTCTTGTTCATTGTTATTTTTATGACTTAGTGCCAATGGGTTTTCGGCTTGTTTTTATTTTTTTGGGGTGGGGTTCCGATTTTGAAGCCCAAGTTACGTGCTAATTTCTGACTGACGAAACCGAAACCGAAACTGAAATCGAAGCCCAGCCCCAGAACTGGTTGTTACAGAAAATATTGGAATTTGTTGTCTTGTGTCTGTTATCGCTGGTAATTGGCTGGCATTGTCCATCGATCCGCGGATCTGTTGTCTGTTTTTCTTTAGCTTTTCCCTAAGTTTCAAGCCGTGGCATTGGCCGGGTATTAAAGATCAGGGACTTGTACTTAAGGGAGCGGGAGAGCTTGGCCGAAACACATCCGCTTTTGGGAAAGATTTCAAAAAGGTGGTGGGAGAGTTTAAAGCTTTGGAAAATTGTTTAAGATGTTTTAAAAATTCTTGAAATGAAATATTATATTTCCTTACTTGTGGTTTTCCTTGGTTCCTTTCCTCATTTTAATTTAAAGCTGGCAATTTTCTATTAGATTTTATTGCTGAATAGCCATTCTGTATTTGAAGTGTCGTTTTCGTTGTCATTGTTGTTAGGCAGAGTGAAGGCTATTCCAGTAAGTTGATTGGTTTTTGTGTGCTTCATATATGCAGATCGATCGATCGATTGTTCGATTACTCTTGGGGGAAATTAGATTTATTACACCGGGCGATGATTAAGGGAATTTGCGGCAAGTGGCAAGTGGCACTTTAGATCTAGATGAGCCTGTGCGGCGGACTCTTCAGCGACTACGCATGAGTGGAAGCACTTGCAGAAAATATTGAAAAGCTTATATAAAAATATATAAGAAAAGAACACACAAATGTTACTTAATCAATAAATAGTTATTGGATTAGATATAGTTGGTATAGGACTGTCTAAAACCAATACTATTTAGAAATAATGATATTTTTCAGAGCATAACCTAGACCTTCTTTATAAGTGTCAAAAACTAAAGAACATATAGACTTTCTTGTTAATTTTACTGCATTATAAAAAATGTTTTATTTAAGATTGAATATTTCACATCCTTTATTTTAATTTCAATATTTTGTAGGACCTTTTGCTTAATTAAAATGATTTTTATACCCTTGCATGGGTATTATAATTTTAGTCAAAGGCTTGTAACACGTAAAGGAGTCATTTCCGACCCTATAAATCATATATATTCTTGATCAGCATGAACAGCCAAATCGATCTAGCCATCTCAGGTTAACAAAAAAATTTTAAAATTTTTTTCTAAATTTTTTAAGGGGTTACATCGTCAAAATTTTCCGAAAAATTTAAATTTTTTTAAATTTTATACTGAGTATGTAGATTTGTTAACCTCACTAAAATTAACATATCGCTGCTTTCCGAATGGAAATTAATGCATTTTTGGCTTACCTATGAGATTTTTAGACTTTGATTTGACCTAAAAAATTGCATAAAAAATATTGCAAATATATTATGACTCAAGGGTATATAAACTTTAACTTTCCGAAGATATATATATATATATAACTTTATTGTTTATTTTTCAATTACTTAATCTTCTGATTCCCTTAACTATTATATTTTATTTAGCTTGGTTGCTCCTAGTTTTTTGTTTAAATCCTTGTTTTTAATATGTCGTACTACTATTTATATTGAAAAAAGGTCTCTTTCATATAAGCCTTTTACTATATATATATTTTATATTTAAATTTATATTATTGTATTTATAATTACCTATTTATATGTATTTAAAATTTTTTAAAAGCTTTAGAAATCTATTAGAAATCTTTTTTAAATAGCCTTAAAATTCTCACTGTGTGTCAGCGTTTCTATGAGGCTTAAGGCCCAGCATCGATGGCTTTCAATCCGAACCAGAATCAGTCTCAGACATCGGCTATGTTAATCTATAGCTATTGCCAATGCTATTGTTATTGTTATTGTTATTGCTATTGCTTTTGCCTTTGCTATAGTCCAAATAGGCGGCGGGGATGATTAATCGCTTTTTGGCAGTGTAATTGCTTTGAGTGGCGCAGTTCGATGAGAATGGAACTCCTCTTTCTATAGCTTCACAGCTCCTCCACTCGTCGTCCACTCTTTGATATACGGCGCAGTCTCGCTGGTCGCTGGTCGCATTTATATTTATAGGTCTGCCCCCCAGATGATATCGATGACCAGGCCGTTTCGAAATCGGAAAAACAAAAGTCCCCCCTCCTCACCCACCATCCTCAATCCCGGGTTCTTATCACACCTGTTACAGGTAAACTATTCCTGCAGCAGTCTTTAACAGCTGTCAACGTACTTTTTTTTAGGGGTTATCTATGTACATATATAATAGGTAACTATATATATCTTGGGTGACTAAATATATTATCGGTTCCTATATATATATATTCCTCTATTTTTACCGATTGTTTGTATTGCAGATATAGTAATCCGATTTTCATAAAATTGTACACAAAATTCTAGATTAATAAACAATGGCTATATATATCAAATTTGAGGAAAATCTGTTGAAAACTAGAAAAGTAATCATTTTTGTCTTAAAACTTTTTGATCCTTCCTAAGGAAGCTATATATAAGTATATATATAGTCCACCGATTCGCCATGCTCCGACATATATACTAGTAAAATTATATAGAAGAATAACTCCATAGTTTTATTGCTTGCTCATAAAATTTATTCCAAAATAAATCTCGCACACCTGTACTTATGATTCCCAACAGGTTCTAACATCCCCGGAACGAAGTGTCTTCTGCCGACCAAGTCTTAGAAATGTGTTGTGTTACAAAAGTTGCAAGTCATTGTTTACTAGTGTTCAAAGTTAGTAACTGATCATACATGCATACTTACTGGTGATAGATACTTAGTGATCCTAGTTACTTAATGTTCATTGATCAGAGTTACTTACTGCTCAAAGTTACTTACTTATTATAGTTACTTACTGGTTACAGATACTTACTGTTCAGAGTGACTTAATGTTCTTTGATACTTACTGGTCATAGATACTTACTGATTATAGTTACTTACTGGTCATAGATACTTAATGTTCAATGAGTATCACTGATCAAGGTTTCTTAATGGTCATATATACTTACTGTCCAGAGTTACTTACTGGTCATAGATACTTAATGTTAAAAGAATATTTTATATTTGAAAGAAGATAAATTCATACATAATTGTTAAAAGAATAAATTCATAACTATAATAAAGTAATAATAATAACTATTAAAAGACTAAAATTTTAAAAATAAAATTCCTCTATGACATTATTATCATTTATGAATGTAATTGCACAATTTTTGGGGCTGTCATCTCTTAATAGGGGCAAACCCCTTTTATTCTTTCTCACTCTCCTCAGTATTTATCTGGTGGTTATCTTGGTATTCCAACACTTCCTCACTGAAATAATTTTCTGAAAATTTTCCA